GGCGCCCTCCTCGCCCGCCGCGCTGCGGTAGTGATCCGGGCGGGGAGGGCCGACGATCGCGTTACGGTTGAGCGGAGCAGGCCCCGGCTGAACAGCCTGTCCGTTGTGCAGCAGCAGCGGTGCACAGCGTTGTTTTCTTGTAAGAAAAATCCTGTAATAGCGCGAATGACCAAAACGGGGTCGCTTGGCCGCAGACGGGCCTTGCTGCACCCTCGGGAGGTGCCCGCTCAATGCTGCGCGGCTCAGGGTTCCCAGCGTCTGAAGGGACGTAGGACTACCCATACTATTCTCTATTAGCTCTAATAAATAGCAATTTAAATGCTACTTAATGGAGTCCGAGTGCCTGCCTTGGTGGGATGATCACAGGCCAGCAACTGCTGGTGCAAAGCACCCCCCCGCTAGAGCAGCCTGGCTGGCCTGGAGGATGTGGGAGCTGGATGCCTGTGGCAAAGGTCAGCGCTCGCTGACCTGGTTACAAAAAAAAGCCCAACACCCATGAATGATGATAAGCCATTTACGAACAGAAATCCTAGAACATCCTCCAGGTCATCTGCATCCTGATGCTTCAAGGTTTAATTCTAGAGTTGGTTTATGGTTTGGGGTTTTTTTTTTAATTTAAAGAGGAGCAAAGGAGTAGCACTTCCCCTTCCTGCCCGCTTCTGTTCACACATAGACACACGTACTTCCCACGATATCCCACCCCTGTATTCCAGACAGGGATTGGGCTGGACTGGGAACCTCGCTGTATTTCCTGCAGGCCAACCACCCCTTTCGCCTAAGGTCAGCGAACATCTGTAGCCTCAGTGTGGGAATCTGAGTGGTGTTACTGTCAAATGACTAATACAAACTGTGATCTCCTGCTAGGTGGAATAATTATTTGTCCAAGATACTTGAGAATAATGCAATTTCTGAGACATCAAGGAACTTCACAGCTGTTGAGAATGTCTTGTAAAAAAAGCACAACACTTGAGGAAAGTCAGAAACACAACGAGGAATTTCTCTTAAGTTTCTGCTACTACCAGTTAAGGGTTTGGTTTTTTGACACTTTCAGTCTAGAACTTAAATAAATGTTTCCTGTTTGCTCTGTAGTGGTACATCCCCTGCAACTCTGTTAAACAATGAGAAAGAACGTTTTGTACTTTCTAATTTGAATGTGACTGAGTAGCACTCATTATATACAGACAGTATCAAATACAGTACTTGTTGATTAGTACTTATAGCTAGCTTTTAGTACGTATAGAACAGTGTAACAGGTTCCTTTTAGCCCTTGTAGTGTTGGCATAAATTATGCGATGGAAAGGAGGGGCAGATCAAACTATGTGTATTAGCCAGATGTCAGCATGAAGGTCAGGATGAAAGCTATCTGAGTTTTTAAGGTACATGATAAAACAAGACATTTATAGGTTAAGGCAGTATCTTATTATATCAACTAGTATAGGTTTTTTAGAAAGTAAACACTTCAGGGGGAAAAAAGCCCTTATTTAGATCTAAAACAGAAGCAACAAACTTCCAGCCTGTGTGAAACTAGAGAATAATTTTCTGAATTTCTTTAGGTGTGAATGAGACAATCTGAGAGAAAAGGAAGAGAGATGATATTAGTAGGAGAGTAAGAGAAGTGACAGATAATTATCTCTTGGTGGTAGGGAAAAGAGTAGAGAAACAGGTAATTTCTAATCTCTAAAACATGGAAAAGAGGCAGAACGGAAATTGTAATATGTCACAAAAAAGTCCAAAATTACCTGGTATCCACTAGCGTTGCCTGCGTCCTTAAGCCCAATTGCTATGCTGACACCATCGTGACAAGTGTTGGCTGTGGCCTTTCCGATGGCCTTATTTCTGCAGCCTACTCTCCCTGCTCACACGGCATAGGGTGCTTTCAGTCAGGTGGCAAGGAGAGATACAGGGCATTACTGCAGTATTTTGCAAGGGCAGGAATTACTTCACTGGGTGTGAAGGCTGTACCTAGTGCTTTCCTCTGTTGCACATTTTTCTGCTGAAATTCTGTTGATGGACAGCTGAAATTAGCGGTCTTTAGAGCTGTACTGAATCACAGTCTTTTTGCAGTAGTATAGATTTAATGGCAGTGGTGGACTGCATATCAACACAGTCCAGACTCTTGGAGCCATGAAATATCTCTGAGCTATCAAAAAAAAAAAAAAAAAAAAAAAGAAAACAAACAACAACACAGGGAATATCTAAGTATGCTATTAGCAATACACTATAACTCACTATCTAGTGGAATATATAACCACTGGGCAATTTTTTAATTTCTGTGATCAGAAATATGAAAGTCAAAAATATGAAAGTTCATAACCCAGTATCCTACATTGTAGAAAACACAATATAGGTGAGCAGTTCTATTGCTATTTTATTTAAGACTATGCTTTTCAAGCTGCTTGATCAAAAAAGAAACTTCCTTTGCCACAATAACCTCCTTCACATATAAAAATAAGTTATCCAAACCATTTATTCAAGAAAATATTTGATAAATTGCTGGTGTTCTTTCATAACAACTAATTACTTCTGTAACATTACGGTTATATGAGCTCTTTTTACTGTGAGACAGTTTTCATGAGAATAAATTGTCTAGACAAGCATATCTACCATACCTTATTTTTTTATGAAGTACTGTAAACGTCCCATACCACTTGACATCTTTATTATGAGAGCCGCACTTAAATATACACAAAAGATCTTAAATATAACTGTTGAGATACAGTTCAAGGGTTTTTTTTTTTCCCCCCGTCAAATATCTGATGCAGAAGAATGATACAGCTTTTAATAAATAAAACAGTAAATTGTGATATGATGAAGACATCTAATAAAGTTATTCATTACTGTATATATATAAACATCAGCATCTTTGTACCCTTCCTTGGGTATTTGAATGACAGTGGCTTGATCCTTTGATTTTTTACTCACTTGTAAACAGACTTATTTCTTCTGTTTGTAAACAGACTTTTTAAAAAACACTATGCAACTACTTAATGGAAATAAGCTAATCTACATGAGGACAAGCTACAGTATCATCATTTTATTTTAGACTTTAAGTTAGCAGACATCCTCCAGCCAGACAAAAAAAACCCTTTTCATTATATATTGATCTGAATTTTGTGAAAAGAGTTAACACACATTAATAGCATATTCCTAAGGACTTCTTTATTAAAGATGAAAAATGAGCTGTAATATGGATTTTTTATTTATTTCAAGTTAATAAGATACCATGTTCTTCTGCAAGAGCATTTATAGCTAAAGACGTAATTATTAAAAAAACAAGTTTTCATATGTTAAGATAGAGAAAATATTCATTCATGAGTATTTACAGTCACCCATGTTTAAAAGCATTGCTAAGTTCTGTGTGCTTTGTTTTGTATTTCTATCAAGAAGTGTACATTCTTCCCCTTAAACTTCTGCTTCTAGACATTTTACTGTGGCCTCAGGCTTGATTTTAGACTCTTCTACCTTTTTTCCATTATTCTTTGTTTCCTTCTCAGGTGTTTTGTCATTTGACTTAGCCTCTTTGAGGGCAGTAGTTTCAACCATTTCTTTTTGCTGATTCTTGTTTGAAAATGGGAAGGTTTTCTTGTACCTTTAAATAGAAAAAAAGGATAGTGAAGCAGAAACACTGACATAGTTTGGTAGTATCACCCAAGAAATAAAGTAAAAAATATCTAGAATTAACTTTCTTTGCCATACTCAAGCAAAAGTCTCAGAGAGAATAGTGGCATGCTAGATCATTGTGCTTTTTCAAGCAGTGTGCTTTTTAAAAAAATATTTTTGTATTTTTTTTTAAAAACAGACAACGTAAATTCAGGATTCGTGGTCCGTAACGATAAAGCCATCTGGGCTAGGATGTGAGAAATGTACAAAACTTTTTGATATGATTTAATGGTGTGCTGTGTTGAAGATCTTTACGCATGACAAATGAGCTCAACAATTATTTTTTTCTGAACACAATCATAGCCCAAGAATAAAAACTTTTACCTTGAGTCTGACATAGAAAGAAACAAGAATAAAACAGGCTTATATACACACAGATCCACACTCCAGTGTTGCTATTTTGGCTCACTTGGAAATGTTTCACACTAGGCATGATTGCCTAATCAAAAATAGGCAATATTTGTCTTTGATTCCTTTTCTAAAGCAGGGAATGGCAACAGCAATAACAAACTTTATCTGCATAACAACAGGGTTTAAGATTTTGTTCTTTGTGCTGCACTGTTACATCATTATCATTACTTCTCTGCTCTTTAGCTATATATTTAAAATATTCACTGGTTGTACTCTAGGAGTTAATTCAGTCCAAGAGAAAAAAAAAAAGAAAAAACTTACTTTTTGATATAGCAGACTGCTAGAACAACGGAAACAATGAAGAAGACGACTGCCAGTACAAGAAGTGCAGTGGGGATACCTAGAGATAAAAATGAGGTAAGCATAGGGTTTTTATATGTACTTAATTCTGACTTTCTAAAGGCTCATGAGCGTAAATACAGATTCTTCTAAAAACAGCCTAGTGTAAGAGGTACATACACATCAACTCAAGAATAGAGGTATTAGGAATCTCCAAAGGTTAGTTACTCCTGCTCATTTTTTCAAGAGAGACTAAACCAGGTATTTAGGCAATCTCTGACAGATGTTTGTCTAATCTGCTCATTGGAGGGTTTTTACAACCTGCCTAGAGAACACATTTTTGTGATTAACTACGCTTACAGTTAGAATGCTTTTCCTCATATTTAGTCTATTTCTCCGTTTCTGTATGTTAGAATTACTTATTCACACCTCATATCTCGAGAACACTTCCATATTTGGAGACAACAATTCTCCTTAAAACTTTCTTGGCTTCTTTTGTTTTTAAGAGCCTGCTGAGTTTTCCGTTAGTCTGAGCTTATGGTGTTTGCTAAGACTTTCTCAGAAATGTATTTACCCCAAATCTCATTAACCAGAATGAACTTCCACCATTTCATATTAAAATATTATCAAAAAGTATAAAATAAGATCTTACTTCTACTTAAAAATTATTTTTAAATCCTCTGCCTTATAAGCTTTGCTTTTGCCAAACCATAACACTCCTATTCTGCCTCCAGGTTCAGCTATATCAAAATAGATGCTGGAGTAGCAAACAAAAGTAGCAGTAAACAGTTTTAGTACTAACATCTGCGGAACTAGTGCTTCTGATTAAATAGCTACCATATATGGCCTTTACCTCCAAAGACAATGGCATCATTCTTAAAAGCAGCACGGGAAGTGTAGTTCGGAGAGTCAATCGGTGCGTGTTCCTCTGGGATTTTTGTAGTAGTCCCTTCTGTTGGCAATATAGTTTCAGTTATACATATTACGCGAATTTTTATATTTTTCAGGGATTGTTCTGACTCAGTCACATTGGGCGCTGCTGTGGTGTTCTCGGTCAAATCAGAGCCTGAATATGCAGTTAAGTCCGTTGGTGCACTTAATGAAGGTGGTATGGTTGTAGTTGGATCTGGTTTACATGAATTAATGTGAACATCTGCAGCAGGGAAAGGAAATACATGAGTTGTGTTGGATGTTAGTTTTGTACTTAACTGTACACGCATGTTTATTGAAATTGTTCTTCAGTCATTCCCTTCTGGCAAATTATTATTTGTTTATTCACAAAAGCCTTACCCAGATCAGGCATGCCTATTTCAAACATGTGGCTACAACCCAGATTACACACCTTTTATCATTACTCACATAGTTAAACACTTTTTTGAGCAAGTGTGGCTCTCATTTTGTAATTGCATACCAATGACAAGATTCCTCCTGAAAAGTACTTAGAATAATAATGCATATAAAAAACGATAATATGACCTCCTGCAGAGCAGGAGACTTAACTGCCGATCCAAGATTCAAAAATATTTCTATTATATTACCTATATGTTCAAAACATATGCACGTACTGTTGATACTTGGAACACCACTTTGATTTTCTGGAAACAAAAGTAGCCCATGAAACTTCCAGGTAAACCAGGCACAAGCGTGAGATAAAAAAGTGACACGATTCTAATGGAGGCTAGAAAGAAACCAACTTCAACCACAGTCAGAAATTAAGTCATTTAAATGATGTGAATGTTGTCTATATAAAAACATGGGTGCAAGTGGACTTTTATATGTAAATGGAAAAGCTGAGTTCTAAATCAGGCTCATATGAAAATGTGAAAATTCTTCTTTTCTAGTGAAGTTCTATATTCTGTAAAGCTATAAAAATTTCACTAAAGTAACAAGCAGATTACAACACAAATAACAGGGAAACGACATACGTGGTGTTCTCCAAATGAATCCTCATGGGAAGTCTGATGACGCAGTTACATTCACAGAATAAAAAGCTAAATGGCAGGGGCTTTTTACTTTTTCCACTACAGTTTTCAAGTGATTTTGGCATTTATTTGGCACAAAGAAAATTGACAGAATGAGCTTCTGCTAATATTTTGGGTAAGAAATGCCTGGAACAGGCAGCAGTTTGGCAATTAAGATAAAGAAATGAAGAATCATCCCAATATTAAACATACATTATTTTCTAACCATTCAACAAGCTTAACTTCACATACTGTAACAGTGTAATTTTTTTGAATTAAAGCTGAACAAAGCTCCCTCCTTAGCATTACCCAACCTACCCAACATTTCTGATGCAGAATGACACATATTTCATGCACTGAAACACCATGCTGCATAGGAACAGAAGAAATAACAGTACCAATAGAAGCCACTTCTTTTACAGCATGTTACCCGAGTACTAATTCACCTATGCATTCATCAATAAAAGCTATGGACTGTAGAGAAAAACTAAGTTAGCCCAATCCTGTAATTTTTAACCTTACAGGTTAGGTGATGTCAATGTTTAATGGTGCTTTCTCTCTGTAGTGCTTTCTTATCAGCAGTCAGATACTTTGTAAGCTGACTACTTATATTACCTACCCTCCTTCACTAAAATGGCCCAGGATCATGAACAAAGCCCCACTGGTGAAGGCATGGCCTTCTCCCTAACAGCTTTATCCTCAGTCTCTTCGTAAGCTCCGATGTTCACAGTCACCAGACATGGTCTTAAGTCTTTTTATCTTTTCATGGGCGTATGTTGCATATCCATCTTTCTCCTGCTCTTTCCAACCCTTGTTCACATATCTTTCCTGAAAAATGTCAGGATTTTGTACATAATATCTTGCTTTTGTTATCTAGAACTCACTGGCGAGGTCTAGGGACTGATTAGAAATAATTTATTGATTCTGTATATGGTCTAATTACTGGGATACTTGTTACATAATAAGCATAGATACGGGACACTATCAGGAACACAATGCCTCTAGTTAAATACTTATTTTTGGTTAATACCATAGAAGTCATTAAGAAACAATACTGATCTATTGTGCTGAGAAGATCTAATTTATATCAAGGCCCAAGTTCCACTGTTGTGTCTTCAATCTGCGAATAAACAGTCAAGAATGAGGGGAAGGACTGCTCTTTTCACATATAGGATGATGCACATTAAAGGAAGCTGTTTGATTTTACTGATAATAGACCGGGAATCTAGTTAGTTTTATGGTCTGTCAGCTGGTCTAGCTTATGTTTTAATTTAGTTTAATGGATACATTTCGTTTTATCAAAAAACATTCAACTTTTCCTGAAGTACCCCACTCTTGTTCTTTTTGCAAGAAAACACACACCACACACAGACACCGTGGTTAAAGATTTGATTCACTGTCTTTCAACTTAACGTGCCTAAATAATCAAAACATATTAAGAGCATTGTGCCAACATTACAGAACGGTAAAAGCAACTCTTCTTCAAGAGCTTTCATGGCAGCACCAAATTATTAATTCGGATTAAGGCAGGACCAAATTATTAATTCGGATTAACTGAATTGACCTTTTGTATTTCTTGGAAGCTTTTTTCCCCTACAGAGCTAAGTACAGCTTGCCAACATTTAAGATTGGGAGGGAAAGGGCCAACAAATTATAAGAACTCACTCACTTGTTATGATTTTTTTCATGCAGATGTTAAAAAATAATAAAAACCAAGCCAAAGCACAAAAAATGTAGCTGTCATGCATACGTACCTGAGGAATTGAAGCAGTAAACCATAAATGTTTTAAAGAGGTCAGCACGCCATTGCACTAGTCCAACGTTGCCCTTACCACATTTCTTGTTGGATGATATCCGAGGAATGACAACCAATCCATCTTTCACCCATCCAAAGCTACAATAAAAAGCATCAGTCCTTTTAATATTAGATTTATCACCAGCCTCAGATGTGTGTAAAGGTGTTCACTAAAGGTAATGAGACACTAACTGATGTCATATACCTGCATGTTTCAAAGCCATGTTTCAAAGCCCTTTCAACTTGGTCTTTACTTGCCAGTTGTAGATTCAGTTGATTACATGCATTACTTGCTTCTGAGAAATTAACTTTCTCCTCAATATAAATTCCTACACCTGTGATCCTGCAAGGTGAAAGAATGGAACCTGTAATTTAGACATAAATATTCAAGGTTAGTATTTGAATATTAACATTTATTCCTCATGAAGAATTTAAGATCATGTTCGACTGAATTGAACATTGTTAAAAGTTTCTAGCTTGAGGATGGTAGAAAACTAATTTCTAGCAAAAAAGACATACTTTAAAAATAGAACGTATTTTCTTAACACAATAGTCTAGAATTTCAAGAGGTTTGGCTGTTATTAGACTAAATGATTGTACAGTTGGCATTTGAGTCACTACCTGGAGTCAGTTTCTTACTAAAGACACTCTTATTTGTCATACTTATTCATGCAAAATGGGAAGAGTAATCAGACAGGTTTTTTTTCCTCTTTATTTTTAAATTAAAATGAGAAAACTAACAGTTGCACTGAGGCATTGATTCGGTCAGTACACCACTCTTACCAATATGAGTTCTATCAAAGGTATTAGACATAATTTCTCATGGAATTAATATACCAATAAATGTAAGGGCATAAACTATTTTCCATGTCCATTTCCAACAGGAAAAGAAGTGATTTAAAAGATTTTATCATTCCTTATGTTCCTTATTCCTCCTAAACTTTTTTTTTTTTTTTTTTTCCTAGCTTGGCATGGTGCTTCCACCCCCCAGCAACTGCCAAGTGTTGAATTTACTGAGTGCTTGGCAGGCAGCAGGAAAAGAGGGGATAGGCCAGGTGAATTTATGACACTTTTCCCCATTCCTCCTCCGTAGGCAGTTCATCCAGCTTTTTTAGATAGCCACAGCTGGCGCACTATTCATGACACTATGAAATGCATAGCTTAGGTCTGATTACGCCTCCTGTATTTTCTTAGCCTGTGTTAAGGACATAGGACAGAATTCAGGATTTGACACAGACAAGGAGAAAGGATATTACTCTTTTGCCTCCATATTTCACTGGAAGCATAAGCTGGAAAAAAGATTTTTTCTTTTTGAGTTACATACAGTAATTTTCATATTAAATGAAACATTTCACCATTTCATTGCAAACATTTCAGATAACCAACAGCCACAGATGTGGCTTCCTTGCTCAATATGCTTTTCAGACTGTGTGCTCACCAGGTATGTACACTAATGAACACTTCATAAAATCTATGCATCAGAACACAGGCAATCCACAAATTCTCAAGGCAGGATGAAGTGATGCCTGCAGATCCACCACATGACTTCTTAGCAATAGAGGTTAAATTGAATTTTATGAATGAAAAGATAGAACTAGCAGCCAAGCCACTCCCATGATGAGAAGCAGATAAAAAGATGACTAAGCTTGTGTGGAGTGCTAAAAGAAAGGCAGGCTTTTCACTCCTGCTCCCACTGGCTGTGGTGGGGGTGGAAATGGCTTCTGGTAAAAGATGCATCTCTGCTGTCCTTAACATTTAGTTTAATTGGACTTAAATGTTTGGTAGAGCAATCATGGAATTAGGTGGATTTATCAGCAGCGATGGAGGCTGTGGCCTCCCATTAACACTTCCTTGTACGCTGTAGAGCCAGTCACATGGCAGGTGAGCCACAGAACACTGGAGCAGACCCCATAGCCAAATCATGGCTGCATCCAGCCCTGACTTGAACATAAGACAAGCCCAAACATATTGCATGAGGATACAGAGAAGCCCTGTTGCTCAGTGAAGATGTGTGTGTAGGTATCAAGGACCTCAAGTCTATCCAAGTAGTCCCAGTGTGAAGATGATTCACACTGTCAAATTTCTTCCTTTCAGCCAGCCTGTCTTCATGAATGTCCTCTTGTATGTTGTCATTTTGGCCAAAGTACTTCTGTGTCAGAGACGTCACACAGTGGAACAGGCTTCCTAGGGGGGTGGTCGATGTCCCAAGCCTGTCAGTGGTTAAGAGGCATTTGGACAATGCCCTTAACAACATGCTTTAAATTGGTCAGCCCTGAATTGGTCAGGCGGTTGGAGCAGATCATTGTAGGTCCCTTCCAACTGAAATTTCTATTCTATTCTATTCTATTCTATTCTATTCTATTCTATTCTATTCTATTCTATTCTATTCTATGTGTTCCAGTGTTAAGTTTTCTTGATTCCCTTTTTCTAACAGGCAACTCTCCCGGTCCTCTTGAGAATCATTTCTGGTTTCCCGAGTAACTCCCTGTCTCAGCTGCTTAGGCACATCCCACAATTCCTCTTTCTTAGTTTTCAAGACCCCACTCCTCCTTTATGGTTTATGCCTAATTCCTTTCTCCCCTTACTACTTTTTATGATCAGATTTCACTCTTACTCTTATTGCTTACTTAGTCAATTATTTTCCTATCTTTAGATTTGAGCTAATACAACCTTTAAAAAATGTAATGTTGAGAATGAAAGTTTCTCAATGATCGACTTTACAAATTTTAAATAAAGCTGAGCAGCTGACTGAATGGAATTTCCTGAAACCTTGGAAAGTTGCCTAGATACTTGTAAACTGTTGCAGTCTTTAGTGATTCAATTACAGGACAAATATTTTTACATGAGAATTGCATGATAGATACATAGCATAATATAAAAATTCAGTACCAGAAAATTAAGTCTTAAGTTATAAGAAAAGTGACTGTAGGACATGGACTAAAGTTGTACCTTAGAATTTGCTAAGCCTTTTAAAACAAATTGGTGAAACGTTTTGGAAAAGTTATCAGCTTCAATCTAAATTCCTGGTAGTTTTACAGTGTGAGGAAGAAATCCAGAAAGAGAACAGTAGCCTCTTCAAGTCTTTTCATCGCTTCTTAAATCACCTCTGAACTCTGTTCTAAAGGTGACTGAGTTTGTACAGGAGACAGACTAATCCTTTAGAAGCATATTAGCCTTTTTGGTCCACAAGCTGCACAGAGTTGTACTTTAAGCTTTGCTCTATTTAGTTAACCTACTAATAATGGGACATTCTCCCCAGTATTTGGGTCTTGTGTAAAAAATCTGTTTTACTGAGAAAGGTGAGAAGACCATGACAGAAGAATCTCACAACAAGACAAAGTTGTCATAGGGCAGGAAGAAAATTGTTCCATTTTTGTAAGCTACGGGTATTGGCTTTATTGTGCATTTGTTCTCGCTGTTTTGGGGAAGCTGTTGTTTCCCTCTTTTTGCCTTGCACCAAGCCTTCACTCTGATTTATTAGAGAGAGTTTCCTTTGGCTGCTGATGTCAGGGAGCAGCAAGAATGAGGCTGTTCCACAAGGAAAGACGAGCCAGGAGTCAAGGGCGACCACAGCACAGGCAGGACAGTGCCCTCATTGACCAGGGCACAGTCCTGCAGCACCTGAACAGGACCACAGTGGTGACAGTGGCAGGTTTCACTGGCAGCCCCAGAGAGCACGAGACAATGAGTCAGGTGCAGGATTCATCCAGAAGGTCCATTTGGGAACAGCAGAAGATGGTGCTACCTATAACACATGCCTGAAATCCATCCTGGAGACAAGGCTAAAAACAACCTAAGTCCAGAGTCCATCTGTGAAGCCCAGTCAGTATGTCACTACAGGAGGGGACAGGGCATGCTACAACACAGTTCGAAGACACAGCTGGAGATCAGCCCTGAGCTTAACTGGAACTCTTGGACCAATGAGCAGGGGGTGCATGAGTAGGTACCCCAACGGAGGCTTGGAGGGGAACTAAGCTGGGTCCTAACAGCTGGAAGGAATAGTCTTAAGACTCAAGCTCTGCATTTCCCCAGTCAAAATTATTCAGTGGTTGGGATTGCTGGAGGAGACTACTGTTGTTAGGTACTCCAGACCTGTGGAATTTCAACAGGACTTGAGTTGAGCATCTAACTCACTTAGTCCAGGTTTCCTTCAGAAGCCTTTCAGTAGATAAGAAAATCAATTGTCTGCAACAATGGTGTATGTTCTTTTACATAGGTAGCACAAGCATTTACTCCTTGCAAATTACAGTGAAACATCTGGAAACATCTGATGTACATTGAGTATCTGCAGATACCCTAGTAGCTACTGCAGTTAGAATAAATTGCGTCAAGTTGGTCATGGAATTTGAAGAAGACATTCACATCTCACTAACATATAGAAAAAAGGGGTATTATATGACCCTGATTGAAAAAAATAGGCTCATATAATAATGTTTGAGGGAGGAGAGTTATCCAAGGACTGTGTGATAAAATTGATGTTGGCAGTTCCTTACGTTAATTTTTTCAAAGAGATAGTTTATACAAAACAGGAACTTTTGCATTGTATTAACTGGAGACAGGCATGATTGCCCTGGAGATCAGCTGCAAGATCCCTGCCACACATTTCCTTCAATGTTGCAAATCAAGACAGTGTCAGGATATCGCCAAAACAGAGCAAACCACTTTGCATTAAAGATAGCATTTTATCACAGACACATAGACCTGGTTTCATGCATGTTTTGCTCTCTGAGGATTGTACATAACTGTTTGCTGTAGTATTTTAAGTAATACAAAATAAAATCACATTTCAGTAGATCTGAACTTAATCCTAAATGCAATACCAAATCTTTAAAACAAGCAGTTCAGTAGCATTTAGACAATAATGCTGCAGCATTAAATTAGACAGTAATTAAATTAGACTAACAATGAAAGGTCCCCTATATGCCAGAGTAGTTTTCATTGCACTGTATTCTCAAAACCCTGTGGTTTCCTATGCCAGAAACACATTTACACATGCTCTCTTTCCCCCATTTTTGTTTGCAAATCTAGCTACTTTTTTCAAGTACTTTACTGTTCAACTAGGAGACTTTAAAAAGTGGAACTTTACATACCTGTTATAAAGTAATTTTGAGCCATGAATGTCATAACCCAGATGAAAAACACTGCTGAGGTAACTCCAAAATAAGTTGCCATTGTCACCAACTTGGAAAATTAAGAAATTCCAGGCGATTTGTCTCCTGTGCTAAGAAAAGTTAAGGTATTGGATACTGTCAGGCCACCTTTGAAATGACTTCTTGAAAGCCACTTCAGCTGTCGCTGCACTGCTTCATAGAAAGAATGTCAGAGCAACTGTGTTGACTGTCCCACTCAAAGGTGAGGCCAGTTTAGGAAATCCTTAATGACCCTTTACACTTTCTTTCATGTAGGGCTTGCTGGAAAATTTAACCAGTCCTGACTCAGAAAACACAGCTGAGGAAAGGAGATAAGGCTGTTAGACTCCTAAGTCAGTAAACACTTTCTTTTGCTATTTTTTCCTGTTTTACTGATTAACAGCTCATTACTCATGTTGTCTATTCATCTGGTAAATAAAATGAATTCTCTGTTTTATCACAGCATGCCAGGGAGGATTTTTCTTTTGGAATTGGACAGGCATCCATTCCCCACTATCCTATTTGTATTGACGTAGTACTTTTACCTTCCTTTGCCTTAGAGTTGCAATGCAAAAATAGGTACCACAACACAGAGATAATACGATACCTAGTTTTGAACAGATCTGGAGATACACTACCGTAAATGGAATTCCTTGTGAGACTGTAGGGACAGAGGTGGGAGCCAGGCCCTTCACTGCTGCCTTTTGTGACGTTCCAAAAACCAGTGATTCCAATAGACTGATTCAAAACACAATGATCCTCACGGCTATAACTCAGAAAACCTTCGGGAAGTCTTAGCAAAGAAACAATTTTTTTGCAGAGATTCCAACAAACATATTCCTGACAGATGTTTGTCTAACCTGTTCTTAAAGACTTCCAGTGACAAATTCCTAACATTTCCTCAAACGCTCTATTCCAGTGCTTCACTGTCATTTACTGTTAAAAGGTATTCCCTAGTCTAAACTGACTTACCCATACCATGGTGTAAACCTATCACTTCTTTTCCTGTTGGAAACGGACATGGAAAATAGTTTATTCCCTTATATTTTGCGACAATCTTATGTATTTAAAGAGTTATGCCTCTGCTCCCACTTTTCTTTCAGCTAAGAAACCCCAGCTTGCTCACTCTTTCTCTCTAGCTGAGGCCTTGCCAATGCCAAGTACTAATTAATAAATTACTTTACCTGCTTATACAGTTCAGAATGGTATGAGCCTTTTTTTGCAACAGGATGATTTTGTTACAGCATATTCAGTTTGTGATTCAGTAAACTTTTAGATGTCCTGCATCCCCAGGCTGTTTTCAAGGCCCTGTAAACACAAGCGTAACAATAGCTACCTCTTTAAACTGCAGTTTGCATTGCAGAAAGTTCCCACTTAAGGTAGTATTAACTTTTATCTGGGCACAGGCCCAATCTCTTACAGCAGCATATAACATGGTTATGGGTATACTATAACGTAGCCAGGCATCTACAGGGCTGAGTGCAGAATGCTGTGGGTTAATGAAATGATGTATCCATTAGCAATAAAGACATGAAAATTGGTTTGTGTTTGGGCTGTGGTTTGGAACTGAATGTTGGTAAAGCTCCTTGAGATCTTAAGACAAATTTCTTGCTCCAATTTCTATTCACTCCTTTATTGTGTTGTACTTATCTGCCTCTACAAAGTGATGGCAATCTGAAATACTGTAATCGGACTTACTCTCACTGAAGCAAGTTCTAAGTGGATTCACTTGCATTTACAATGTAGGAGCAGAAACTAAGAGTTATTCTGTAGCTCTCATGGACTAGTAGACTGTGGCTGTAAAACACAAAGAACATTAAACAAAACCTTACCATCTCCATGCTTACCTTGAATTTCCTAAGTATTTCCTACCATGAAAACTAATCAAAAGCTGGATTTCTGACATTTTAAAATTGCATGCTAATTGTCCTTCCAAGGTTTAACACTTCGTGCCTATTATCCTCACTGTGGCAAAGTTCCTTTAGTCAAACTCTGTCCATGCTATTGATGCTAGTAGGATTTTTAGCTGGAAAAATGAGATAAACACCTTTGTAACACTAAACAAAAAAATAAGCTCCTTCCTCCTGGTTTTGTAAGAGCAAACAAAAGATTAGGAGAGGGACAAAGATTAGGATCCAAAAGATTAGGAGAGGGACAAAAGAATTTTAGAATGATGAAGCAAGATGGAAATAACCTTTTTTTTCCCCTTTCTTTTTATATTTCAGCTGTTCCAAAACTGTGTGGAAGATTACTTACCTGAACTGTAACAGTATAAAAGGTCTTTAACCTGTTTGTGGGTCTTTATCTTGTGTGTTTAATTAGCATTTGACCTAAATACTTACAGTAACCTATAAGGAAAATTCCCAGCATCTCATGCCAGCACATTTTAAAATGCTGATGAGAACTGCTAAACAGAAAACTTTTGATATGGGAGAACAGACTTAATTGTTCTCTACAATCATTTCTAAAGGAACCTTGACGCTTGAACAACAGGAGAGGAAACAAGTTTAAAAAAAATGTTTATGTGGGAAATACAAATATCAGGGTCTTTTCCTGGTAACAGTCATTCCTCTCAAGGTTGTCCCTGTCCCAAAGTTTTTCCTGCCTGACACAGACCATCAGAGATTCAGAAGTGACATTTCTCCTCTTTGTGGAAATTGAGCATTGTCTCCTTCCTGCTGGTCTGGCAGTTCAGCTCTCCACAAAGCCCAGGCTTCCCAGACCTCCCAAGCCTACAAGAACACAAAGCGAATAAAGAATCCTAACCTTGCACTCAGTCTCCTTTGGTTACAGATCTCTCTTGGGGCTTTCCGTGTTCAACCTCCTCAGTGACAGGCAGCCTCCCTCTGAAGCAGGAGTCAAACTCTCTCCAGGATATTTCAGTTTCCTCTCTCATCTTGTTTCTAGGGTATGACAGGGATGACCCTGCTTACAAACACTTTCTCTATTGAAACAGGAGTTTGCTTGCTTCTTCTACATCATTTTCCTGAAGAACTGAAAGACTAAGAACAAGATCTTTGGTATGTGTAACATGGCACTACATTACACAGTACAGACAAGGCAGTATGTCTTTCATAAGAACACAGCCATCGATATGCAGACAGAGCGCATATAAAGAACAAACCTTTAAGGTAGCAACACTGAGGACTTTGAAACCATACTTTTATTTCAAAACTCAAGTATGTGATACTATACAGTACAATACCAGCACACTTGTGCAAAATCTTACAATATTACAAATTTAAATATGATACACAAAAATAGTGCCCTTTTAAAATTCCTTTTACTAGAAACATCTGTGCTGTGCAGGAAAAACAATAAACGTGTCTTGTTAAAGCAGAAAAATAAATATTGCACCTCAAGAAAACTATTTCAGTGTTAATAGCATAAATAATAGATCTATTTCTTGTTATCTGATGTGATCTTTGAACACAGAAGAGGTTGGTTTTTTTTTTTTCCAGATAAAGCAAACTAATATCCAACAGATAAAATTACATTTAGAATAGTTTTTGAGCTCAATCTAGTTTCCTATTAAAAAAAGGTGTCTTCATTAACTAACTGAAAAATATAAGCAAAAATATTTAATGTGCTGTTAGTCATTGTGGTTCATTATTTTTAGTGGACAGTTTGCTCAAAGTAGTTATAAAGAGAACAGCAACTTTTTAAAAAATAAACTTTATTTTCATCTTTTCATCCCCATTAAAATCTCTTGCCTCTTTCAGCCCATTCCACACATCAATTAATAACTTTGTGGCTAAATTATACTTGCCTTAGACGTGCAAGTAGTTAACTTCAAATCAGTACAACTACTTATGGAAATTTGCCCTTGTGCACTAAGTCCACAAAAAGCCAGTGTGCTGAATTTCGAGAGGATGGAGGCCTTGTTCACCCACTGACCAAAAAAACCTTAGCACATGCTTAACATTAAGCAGTCCAAGAGTCCTATTGTTATCAATAACTTTCTACATGTGGGTGTTGGACCTACATCAGTGCAGGTGTAAATAAGAGCAAATTAACTTGATTCTAGGCACTGTTAATTATTTTTCCTCAGTGCAGCCCAACATTTCCACAATCACATAATCAAATACGTGCCATAATTTTTGGCATAGAGGATTCTGAACCTTGAGGACTATTTACCTTCGATTTGTATTGCCTTATTAAGTTGACAATGCTATTTGTAAAGAATATTAAGTTAAAGAAGCTGATTTTAATAAAGAAGTATTCAAAGAGCAACTGATGAGTTTCTTCAAAAGTACAGGAAATGTCACAGTAGTTCTTCATAGTCAGATATTCTAACTGAACCAAACAGATACCAAGTAATTTGCAAGAAACCTTCTTCTGTCTTGTTCTTTACCAATTACAATTTGAGACCAAATGACACTTTCCCATTATCCTTTTCGAACTTCCTTAAACACACTATTCCTCAACAATATATACTTTAAAATAAAAAACAACCCTCCCAACTGCTTACAGACTTCCCCCCCACCAAAACCAAAAATGTGGTAGTGGTCTGCTTTTTTTTTTTAATTTTTTTTTTTAATTTTTATTTTCTTTCTCCATATTAACGTCTCTTAAGAAACATGTGGCTAAAGATGTAACAAACAAACAAAATTTACCAGCAGGATATTTGTTACTAGTGCCAGATATGTGAATTAAACTTCTGACTGAATTACAAACCTGTTTTCTTTGATAGTTAGCTTGAGGTTACACCAAAAGAAAACAAGACAATTCTAACTGCATCTGAAATGAAGTTACAGTATTTCATAACATACTTGTCCTTCAGTTGGTAAACAGATCTGTTAATCAGTCAGAAAATGCCAGAAGAATGCAAGACATGAGTGCAATCAAATGTCACGCTGATTTTGATATTGTGGTTAGATTCAAGCATATAGCTATGGAAAGACAAACATAGTTCATCTTCAATCAGAAGTGACATTCAGCAGGCACATATGGTATACCGTAAGTGACATGCATTTTGGTCTCAGCCCTAGGTGGTGTGGTTTTTTACAGATAATGGCTTCACCATTTTGAAATTGCTTGTCTAAAAATTTCAGGCTTTCACATTCTTGTGTAAGAACTCTCAACTCCTAAATAGGGAGAACTGTTAAAAAATCCGGGCAAAAGCTTAATCTATCATGACCTGATAGTTTAGCTTTGAAAGCATATCAGAACAGTTATATACTTGGCATCAGATTCTGAAAATTAACTACTAAAAACATGCAGTGACCTCTTCAAAGTCCTCACTGCTTTTATGTGCTGATTCATCTAGGCACTAGTAGGGTTTTGGCTATACGCAGAACTGTGTTCCTAGTGCAGATCTCAAAGGATATCTATTTCCAGTATTAGGAGTAGGGCAGAGTCCACTTAGCATGATCACCTGTATACACAGGTTTGAAAACTTTTTTTTTTTTTTTAATAAAGAACTGAAGATGGCTTCCCACATCCAAGACTGCTGTATTTTGGGCTTGGGCAACACATCTAATCTTCCAGACAGCAACTACTTTTTGCTGTAACCAGTAGTGACTCTGAGTGGCATACACAAATTTGTTGCAAAGCATGTCCTTTTGATATATCAGAAGTTCCCAGATTTATTTGATGATATCAACTGTGCCACCTAGACCTCATTTTAGGGTTTGTTTTGTATCCTGTTTAAAAAAAAGTGGTGGTCCCATTCTTAAAGTATGTCATAAAACACATTTATGCATGTACTTAGTATTCCATTTAAATAATCATACAGATAATTCCTCTTATAAAATTACTTTATCAGCAAGGCATTTGGTCTGATAATATAATTCTAACCTTCCACAGAAGAGCTTCTATTTCTACCCAATAATCATGAATAAGGAAATTAGTTAGACTCTTAAAACCCAAAGGACTTAAATGTCATTAGTACTTCAACAATCACCAATAAATTCAGGAAATGCAAAGTAAAGCACTAACTGCAAATGCAGGTTTTACAATTTTCTTCAAAATCATGGCAGAGATGTCAATGTCCTGCGCAAATCATTCTTTTATATGTCTTGCTGGTTGCTGACTACTGCCACAACATTATAATGATTCAAAATTACTTTATTTGTATCAGTCATTTACAATAAGAGGACAGACAGGATTATTTATCAGATTGTCATTTTGGCAAGGTATGTTCACAATGCATCCCCAAACCTGATGGTGTGGAGTAACTCACTTGTCTAACAGATCACATTTAACAACCGTAAGGATGACTAAGCACTACCTTTAACAACTGTGTTCTAATATGCGTACTTGCTCAGGTACCATAAATACATGGTTGTTTATTATTCAGTGCGTTGCTCATGTTGAAATCCTGAGTTCCACCAGGAATATTGATGGGCAGCAGAACAGCTGGCCTTCCCTTCAGGTCCCTCTGATTTTTCATCACAGGAGTTGTATGAATGGTAGATTCCCAACACCACAGCAAAAATGATTATCGCAGCCACTACAAACCATACCACATTCCAGTGTTTACACAGTTTGGGGTACAGTATATGTAAATAATTAATGATGACTTCAAGTCTGCTGTAAAATTAAAAGAAAACTGTTATATATTAATCATATGCAAATTTATTATCTTAAGCTTTTCAATTTGAGAAGTTTCATAGATGTATGGTGCACCATCTTTCTTCCAAATACAAACACCCTGTCAAAGAAGAATCAGACTGTTAAGTTCTTTTAAGAGCCGTACACTCAGATATGGGCGATATTTGCAAGACGGCTGAAGATCATAAACTTGACTTCTATTTCTCCCACCTGTCAAATGGGAAATCTGAGAGCTTGATATGATGTAAAATTCTGCACTGTTCATACCTTGCTCAACTAAACTAAACATTAGAACATGTTGTAAACATTTCTTCCTAAGAGTTTCATGACTAGCGAGACAGCTGCCCTTCTGAACATGGCTGAAATCTCAAATTAACAGATGTTTATAACCATAATGCTTATGGAATGGAAATTAATTCTTCTGGATGAGGTAAGGATTCCTACATTAGCTTGCGATGGGACATATTACTTGCTTTGGCCAGCATTTAATTCCTCTCTAATGCAAAAGTCTCTTTGCTTTTAAAATGCAGGAAATTGCAGGTATATTGAACTGGGTGGTAGAACCACTGAGGACACTCAATAATTAGCCCTAAGAAAAGCTGAAAATTTCAGAAAAGTTTTCCAATTAGGCATTAAACGCTTCAGGTAAGACAACAACCAGAGGATTCAAAAGTCCTCAGTATAGATGAAGAGCATTGGGTGCAGATTAATGCAATAAATGTGTCACTCTGCTGAAAGACAGGAACTCCAGCATAGTGCTGTTCTGCTGCATCTACACTGCTTCCAGAGAAAGCAGGCACCTGCCTGTCCAAGTCAGAGCAAGTCCAACATAGCTGGGGAGCTTGTCTTAATCTGCATTCACCTTGTAGATGTATTGAAAGACTCACCTGTGAAGACCCTTTGGGAATGACATATGGCACAAATATGGGCATCAGATTCCTGAATTACAACTTTCATGAGACAGTGCATGCCTACTGAGAGATACATTCTGGCATTTAAAGAACTTTTGTGGAATACTTTTTACCTCAAATCAAAACCAAAACCCATCAAGATGAAGCATCTTGATGTCCACATACAATTTTAGTTGAAATATCAAAATAAAAAGTTTTGCATTTTGCAACTATGTTATCTTGGAATATGCCTTTCTGTGAAAATACTGTTATTTCAAATATGTTTCCCTAGACTGGAAGAAAACATGTCAAGATAATAGTATAAAACACTTGGTTGGGTACCACAAATAGAAAAAAGTGGCTTCTCTTGCACAGACATATTACACCACTGTCTCACCTGCTTTTCAGGCTTTTTATCTCATCTTCATTTTCACTTTCTTCATGTTCATCGTGACTTTCTTTTGGTGTCTCTTCATCTTCTTCCTTCACTTCCTGAAGTTCTTTGGTTTTTTTCAAGCCTTCCTGATAGCTTTAACACACAAAACATTTTTCTTAGTCTAGCACACTGTATAAGGCTGTTCCTGTGTAATGAAAAATTAGCTTTATGTTTTGTTACATGCAATAAAACACAAGTAGCAGTGTTGCAGCCTCGGACAAGAGTAAGAGACCATGAGTATGGCACACAGACAGCCACCGTTCCTTAATAGAGGATTATATTAGCTTTGTTACCATATTTATCATCTTGAAAAAGAAAAAGAGGTTATAGTCCTCAGCAGAGCACAACTTCTGTCTATTGTAAAGGTGTTGGTAAATATTTCGCTATCATTTTTCAATCATTTTGAACACCCTCTAGATATTTTATTTGCCTGAAGAATAAGTGCAAATCAATACTAAAGATAGATGGCATGTTGGATTCTGCAGGAGAGGATCAAAATTTTTGTCTCAGTCTTCACATAGTACAAAGTTCTTTGCTTGACATTCAGAAACAGATCCCAAAGCTGTTAATTGCCCCAAAACATGCTGTGTAAAGCACTTTGTGACACAAACGTGAGTTTACTACAGAAGTTAATACCTACTCTTTACTGATTGCCATGTGCACTTTTCAGAATAAACATTTTAGAAAGTTGTTTTGGATTATCCTATCATGAAGCTGAACACTATTGACATAAGAACACCCACTCAGAATCTCTGATATAACTGCTCTCCTATAGTTTGGCTAACATTAATAAAGGATGAAAGCAAACAGCTGCAATGCAAATACAATGAGTGAAGCTCACTCACATTGTTTCCCACATTGCTTCAATTACGACCATCTTCTAGGAGCTCATATTGATTATGTCACTAGCATTTAAAATTACATTATAAAATCATATGTCCTCATCTGATAGCACATATTTACAGCTTTAGTTCACATAAAATACTCCCACCCTTTGTTATATGCTTCCTCTTCTATCTTGGCTTTAGTTTCAGGATTGATTTCTTCCAACCCACTCTGTGTCAGCACAGAAGTAGAGGTTTCACAGTCAGGCTCTCCATTAGTCTTACCACTGCCAAGACAAAAGAAACAAATAGAAAATAACACCACTGAAACGTATTGTATTTGGAGTATACTACTGAACAAGAACGATCAACACACAATTTTGTGACTCCTGATTTTTCTTCTTTAATATACATTGGAGAAATAAAATGCCTTTCAAAAGAAAAAAATTAAACACTAAGTAAAATTTTAGTTTCGATATGTTGTATTTTAAGAACAGTAATTACTATGTTTCTAAGTTAAAACTTGCATTTTGTCTCTTCTTCTTTAAAAAGAAAAGAAAAGAGCATTTGTTACCTGGCTTATCCATGGCATTTATTTGCTATTCTTTAAAATATTTCCCTCAACTTTCTCAAAATCATCTTAGAAATTGTAGCCTCCTACATCAGAAGAAAATAATAGAAATAATACCAAATATTAATTTAGCAAAACATTTTTCTTATTTGCCTTTTAGGTACTCCTCTCTGCTGACTTTATATGCTGAATTGATGCACAGGTTAAAAAAATACAAACACGTACATAGCTTTTGTCACTAAAACTTTTCTTAAGTAAAAGCTTTGAGCATTTAGCCTAAAGATAAGCCAATATACGCTGCTCTCTTTCTGCAGTGCTCACCTGTCCTTATTTATTTAAGTCTGGGACAAAGATTTTAAGTTATTCAGACATGACTTAACAAATCTATCAAAGTCAAGGTTTAATAAGCTCAACAGTAGATCCCATTTCAACTTCTAGAATCTAACCCTTTTTGTAGGACTTATTTTTCTGGCACTAAAATCAATGGCAGAATAATTCATCCTGATTGACACCATCTGTAGGCAATCAATTTTCTCTCAAGAAGTCATATTAACAGTAGACATTATTTTCCCTTGGACTTTGAACACATCATGAATATAAGCTTGAAGTGCTTAAATATACAAAACTCCGCTGAACGTTGTAATTTTACACTACTATAGTAGCTGTCCCATGCATACATACTTATGCTCAAACTTGAACTTCAAGTTCTGCTTCTGTTACTTGATATAACATGATTTGTTTTCTTAAGATCCAGTAAGAAATATTGACAAGGTTTGGGTTTGTTTGGTGTTTGTGTTTTTTTTTTTTTTTTTTTTTTTTTTTTTTCCAGAATTTCTGTACAGTTTCAAAAGACGGTCTAAATATTGCAGAGTTCTGTTGAATTGTAACAACTAGTGCCATAGTTCACCAGTTTTGTTTTCCCAATTATTGCATATTTTCCTTCTTGGTAAAGCACAAAGATAAAACAAAGACATAAGATAAATTTTGTCCCGCCTCAGCACTAATCTAAAATGCCTGAAAATCAATATTCTGTACTGCCGTGAGATCTACATATTTTAAAGTTTTTAATTTGCATGTTTAAAGCATCTTAACAAACTTTAATTTAAATTAGTATTGCAGATATTTTATTGTGATATTGTAAACAGTTTAAATGACCATAGTAGTAGTAGTAGTAGTAACAACAACAACAATCAACGTGATATTTTAATAAGTTTTACTTCTAAAACATTAGCAAGCAACTTCCTTAGAATGTGCAACATTTCCTGAAAGAGATAAGTATTTGAAAAGGTGCCTGACAATTTTTTATTTAGGCTTTCTAGGCTGATTATACATATGAATAAAGTATACACACACGGGTTTGCAAATGCAACAGTACCTGTATCCGCAATGGTAACTGTTTACAAAGACCTTGTGGAACAGCTTGAGTATGCCTTCTGTTCTCATCCCAGTCTCACATGTTTTCATATTGCCTATCTTTGTATTCTAGTACTGCAGAAGCTTTACATTTCAAGAACTTGTATAAAATTAAATCACATGTCTACATGAATTTCAACTGGAAGAACTTAAAAGTTCTTTTCAGAAATGTGTAGATGCATATGCTTTCCAGCAGAGCAATTCTTTGCTTTCCTTGTCTATATAACTATTATTTTGCTCCAAAAGTAGTACTATTTAAACCCATGGAATGAATCATGGAACTATTATGGAAAAGGGATAACAACATGTCACGGTTTAACCCCAGCCGGCAACTAAGTACCACACAGCCGCTTGCTCACTCGCCCCTGGTGGGATGGGAGAGAGACTCAGAAGGGCAGGTGTTCAGCCATCTCCAGGAAAGCAGGACTCCATCATGCGTAAGGGTTACTTGGGAAGACAAAACACTAACTCCAAACATCCCCGCCCCCCTTCCTTCTTCTTCCCCAAGCTTTATACGCTGAGCATTGTATTCCATACCATCATATGGTATGGAATATCCTTTTGGTCAGTTGGGGTCAGCTGTCCCAGCTATGTTCCCTCCTAACTTCTTGTGCACCCCCAGCCTACTCACTGGTGGGTGGTGTGAGAAGCAGAAAAGGCCTGTGTAAGCACTGCTCAGCAATAATGAAAACATCCCTGTGTTATGAACACTGTTTCCAGCACAAATCCAAAACATAGCCCCATACTAGGTACTATAAAGAAAATTAACTCTACCCCAGCCAAAACCAGCACACAACAGCACGCCTTAATCCAGGCAGGACATCTACACTAATGGTAAGTAATACAGAGTCAAAAGGGCAAATGTTTTAATGAAAAATATTTTTGCAATTTATAGGTACAAGGAAAATATAGATATTGAGGTATTTGCTTGTTACCAGGCTGAAAAAAAAATTTTTTTAATTTTAAAATGCAAAGTTCTCTGGCTGTTATAACCAAAATCTCAGGTTGTTAAAACTAAAATCTCAAACCTAATGCTTTAATTTAGCTGAAAGTTCAATTAATTTTATACTAAAAAAAATTACTACTCAATTTAATAATTGTTTTGACTTCTGTAAAATTTTGATGATCTACTATTATGATAAATTATAATTTTGAATTTCATATACTTATGTTTATTCACGTAAATTTAAAAACCTACATGACGCTGGATATCATAGTATTTCGAAATATGATTCTTACCAGCTGGCCACATGTTGAAAAGGCAAGGGCAGAACACAAACTTCTATTACTGGGATAGTCAGGTTAAGGAATATTCATAACCCAGGGTTGCTCATGGCCAACTTTAGATATAGAATTAATTTGTTCCAGCAAATATATTAAAAAAAAAAAAGCCACATGCATTATAAGTAATACTCTTAGTTTTGTCAAGTTCTGAAGGCAGGCCTACTCAAATGTGTAAATGTATAATCTTCTGCTGAAGTTTTACTTGAGTTCTAATGATCATAGCAGGCTCAATTTAGTTCTGAGATACTGCTTGTAAACTCTTTGAACGTGAAAAGAACAATATGATGGTGACATAGTAAAATACCGTTACCAGATCATGAATCAACCTAAGCCAATATTGTGTCACTGATTTCAATATCTTATGCCTTGGTATAACTTCTGTTAGGAAAGATAGAAATGATCTAATTTTCATTTCATGCTAGGATTTAATAGGTAATGAGATGACCTAGAGAAAACTCACTTTTCTAAAAGTGCTGGCAGAACAGGAGTAGATGTTAGATTGCTCCTTCCATTGCTAGGTGATTCAGACTGTAAGTGAAAAACAGCAATAAATGTTACATCCATGAATTAATTTCAAATGAGTCTTCAGTAAAATGACAAAGTTAATGTGCTGATTAGGTTTTCGTCCCACACCCGTGAGCAAGGCATCTTTAATATGGAGCTTCCAAACTACTCCCACTAACCACAGTAAACAATGGACTTGCACACTAAGAAGAACTTTCTGCCACATTCCCTTCTACCCTGCTTATTTTTTTCAAGAAAAGTGTTTCTTCTTCATATATTGATCACTGAACTGTAAAATTACTCTATTGCTTCTCTCCATATTATCCCAGGAACATTAATTTGTTAGCTAAGTTTTCAATGGAAAATTTTAAACAAACAAAAAAAAATCATAATAAATCATGGTAAATAAACACACATGGTTCCTGAAGCAATTGACTTTGAGTACATAATAACTAAACTGCACAAACAGATTGTTTTCTTAAAACTAAAATGGATTTCACCTCTCAGCAACACCCCTCATTTAAATAGCCCTACATTTTTAACAGAAAACTACATAATTTTCAGGTTATGTGCCATCTTAGCTCATCTCTGAACAGCTGGTATGTTTGGCAGTTTTCCTCCAAAGCATTTATATAGATTTATTAGGTTCAGATTAGATTATCATTTAACTTATTAAAATTTTATAAACAAAAAATCAAGGGAAAGGCTGATAGCTCCACTAATCCCAGATCATCACAGAACTTCTAAATTTGTACCACATACATTTATGTACATTAATTACATGCTTTTCTGTTTAGTGGACTTTCTGGCAATGAAGAGAAGCAGTCCAATCATCTTCTATGGATTCTGGTTAAAAGTTTTCTGCTACAGTGGACAACTATTTTTACTACTTCTTTCCAGTATGTTACTACAGATGAAAAGACAAATTGCCTCAACTAATGTCTAATGCCTCTGAATCACCAGCTAGCCCTATTCACCTCTGTGCCCAAAGTGATCATTTATGGAGGCAGATCCTGAAAGCATATGTCCCTGACACAACAGGAATTACCGTTGTCCATCCCATTCACTAGGATGGAATAAAAATAAATTAAACTAATGAAAGGGCTTATATTTTTTAGTAACTATGGCTTGGCTGTATGCAAAAGTAGTTTAGACAAAAAGTAGTATCTTTAAACTGCGGGTTTTACTTACCAGGGATGGCATTGAAGGTATAGGTGAAGCTGTTGATGACTGGCCAGGAATGTTTAAGGAGTTAAATTTAGGAACAACAGCAACACTGACTCTCCTCCGAGGCATATTCTGTGACAAAAAACATTTTTTTTTTCTATCATACAACAAGATAGGCTGAAGAATAATTCTACAAATTAATAGGTGTGGCAAAGATGTAGGTCCCCTGGGGGGAAAGGAGAGTTGGGAGCAAAATTAAGATAAATGGCTGTTAGGGCTGTGGTTTTCCGCAGAACTGCTTCTAGTACTGTCTGGTATGGCAAGTGCTTAGTGTGAAATGAGGTGTTCTACAGGGATGCTACTCTTTTCCCTCCACACTGAAAACCCAATAGTGTAAGTCACACAACAGATATGTTCTGAGCTGTTATTGTCAGTTCTTATGAGAGACTATTATCTTTGGTTAAAGCAGGTGTATAACGATACTGGGAAAAGTGCCAGTCTCACAATGACTGGAAGATAATGAAGTTACACACGAAACTCTTCTCTTGCTATGTACCCATTATGATATATTGTACCTACTATGATATATTAATTATTTCTAAACCTACAAATTATAACTTACAGTAACAATAACATCTGTTCCCTCTGCAAAAGAACAGAGCCTTCTCCCCCACCCTTGAGTTGTTAGATATCTATCTAGCATCATGCAACATTGCTTACATTTCCCAAAGACCATGGAAATTCTTTATATGATAAACACATGCTAGCCTTACACAATATATTCTAGCTCAAGTATAGATCATATAAGTTTCTGCTGCCATTAGGTAAGTAGTCAAATACTTCATCCTGTGATATACACCTAGTGAAATCTACGCTTCCCACTGAGTAAAAAATCCAAGCACATACAGCATCTAACAGTTTCATCTTAGTGCATATCCAAACACTTCTAAGTTCTGCTCTAGATAACTTTATAGGAAAGGAGTTAAACACAGATTTACTAAATATATAGGAGTCACCTACTCCATGATCCTGGTTCTAGACAAAACCAACTATACCTATTCATTAATGACAGAGGTCTATCTAAGGTGCTTCTGAAAAACTATACTGGAGAGTCTGCAGCCATGTTAGGCAGTCCATTTGAATGTTTTAGGTCCTGTCTCATCCCCTCCCCCTTATTATTTGGACTTGTACTTGTCTTTGTTAAATTTCACCTTTTTTGGGGACCTCTGTTTCAACTTATGTGGTTCTCATTCTGAAATGCAGTCTCACCCTCAGCATGCTCTGTGCTCTCATTCTTTCTATTCAGCACTCAGAGGTGGCAGGAATAAACTAAACCTAAAGAACTACAACCCAAGCAAATAAAAATATTAAAAGAAATAGTAGACTTAATATAATGTCTCTGACCATCAAATTTCATAATGGTCACATTGGGACTTGGCTCTCTCAAATCACTGGTTGTTTTAGGAAGTTTTGTAATAAACTTGATCTCCAACACTTGGAAGTTTTGCAGGAATGGAACACTGGCCATGTTGAAGTTATTAATTGGTCAAGCCAAAACAATCTGAGATAATCTCTCCCTCTGAATGCTTTGTCAAATCAAATAAGATATTCTGATGCTAACTGAAAAATGAGCCCCACTTAAAAAAAACTGTTTACATCTAAGGTACTCTGAACATGATGTAATTCTTAAGATAATGAAAATGGTATGATCATTGAATCCCTAATCATACAGTAAGTTTTGATCCAATGTTCAACTTCCTCACTGAAGAACTAGAATAAAGCACAGGACATAAGCCATTCTCTGGAGCACAGGTATGTGGCCTGGAATACAATCATTCTTAAATAAATAGGTCCCTTTATTATTTATAGCTTCACAGCAAGCATTATCATATTGCACAGAGTCATTCTTCATCATGTATCCAAAATTACAAAGCATTTGTACTAAATTACACGAACAATATTGAGAATTTACCAGCACTATGCTTTGAACACAGCCTATAAAATTGAATGTATATAGACAAAGAAATTTCACTACATAAATTGTTCACTTCATTTTCTTTATATTGTAGAAATACCTTTCCAACAGTAAGAGACATGGATCTAGATGAACGAGGTACTCCATCTTCTGCATAAAAACAGTAGAAAAAGAAGAGTCTTAGACTACGAGTATCTATAAATAATATTAATAGAGCCCTTGCTTGTATTTCAAACTCATATATAGTATATTTATATAAGGTCTGTAGTGACTGCATATTTATGTGTCATACAGTTCTGGTCTCAATTACACCTGCAGAAGAAATTTGAAATAATTGCAAAAAATTGAACCATTACTATCTTTACTGAGATCAGGCAAAAGCCCACTATTTGCCTGCATATACAATTTTTTGCAAGAGAAAATACTCATATTTCAGTTTCCAGCAAACTAGGAAAGAAAAGGTTGCAGGAAGAAACAAATCATTTTTTAATAATGAAATTTTGCCATCATCTGTCATCCAAGAGGTAGTTGCATTAAAACTGTGCAAGCTATGCATATGTGCAAGAGCCCAATGAAAATGTCATTGGGTCTCATCAGAATTTGGTAAATGATAGTGATTTTAAATTACTGTACTATAGCATTAAGTATGGCTTATATGAAATATTTTAGCTGTTATAACTTTTTGAAATCTACTCCTGTAGATCAGAACGTCATGAACAGGTTTCACAATACTTCACTTTTTATCATTAATAGCACCAGACATCTCTCTGTATAGAGAGGCTAGACAAACCCTTAAATTGTTGTGGGTTTGGGGGCTTTTTTGTTTGTTTTGTTTGTTTGTTTGTTTTTTTACCAGATGCACTGTAGCTTCTGCTAGAATTCTGATTGGCAAGTTTCTTGAACTCCATTAGTTCAGCATGATCCTTTTCATACGTTCTTTTCAGATTTTCCACATACTGCATCATTACTTCTGTTGCCTTTGACATACGCTTCTCCTAAGGAAGAAAAGAGGGGAATGCTCAGGTAACCTCTACACTTCTCAAACAAACCATATGCTCCCTGTCAAGGCTAAATCTATTTGTTGTTCTTAAAGAAATATCAGTACCTACACAACTGAAAATTCTGCAGCTAATTCGAACACAAATGCACATGCACTCACATATATCCACAGAATATCATAATTTATTTTGTCATATATTTATACAGTCTGCCTGTGTGCCTATGTTATTAGTTATGCAGTATATGCACATTTGTTTTCAAACCCTCGCAGGGCTCAGTCACTGGCGTCAGTCTAGTTACTTTAGTGGGCAGAAGCAACAATGTTGAATCTGGGAGGGTATTGCTGTGTCCTCATTTATACTTGCTCTGTTTTTATACTCTTTACAGTTGTCTGACTAAGCTATTGCCAAAGGCAAGTTACTGAACTAGATGAGCTTTTTGATCCAGGAAAGTTTTCTTATTCATGCTGCACTGATTTTAAACATATTTCTCGTGATGCAGCTATAGTTCTGAATAAAACATATGCTCCTATTGTACAGATGTTGAATAGCTTCATGGGTAATCTTCTGTTTGAATTCTATTTCCAGACCGGAATAGTGTCTTACCTGACACTACAATAAACGTCTTTAATCTGTCAAAATGGTAAATAAAATTCAAACGGCTAATATAACCTCCAGCTATGGCTGAAAAAGATAGAGAGTGAACATGTGCAGCCAGGATACGTGTTAGACACCAGGATGTTCTTACCTGGCGAATGGCTCCAACCATCTCAGCACGACTAGATAGTCTAGCAGCTAAACGCCGCAGAATAGCAATATCCTCCAATAGCTTCTGGTAAGCTTCTCTGTGTTCATAGTGATGCCATAAGTGAGCTGAAGACTGAAGTGAAAATACGTAAGCTTTATTGTCACATCTTGCCACTTTTAGTTCAGATTAAGTACCCCACAGAAGTGGGGTAGACCTGTCTAGGCAGAACTACACACGGACAAGTTAGCCCCAGAGGGGTGCCATCACTACCACCAGAGATAACCTAGTGAGTGCTGCTGCTCTGTTTCAGAATGGTGCTTCACTGCATACTGCAGGCACACCTTTCGAGGAGTTAAAAAGGGCTAAGCACATTTGCAATGCTCTTCCTTTTGAAATTAATGATGAATCATGCCTAGCTACCTATGAATTTTACAAATGCCAAGTTTATTTGAACTAGTACTTATAAATGATTGCTGAAACACAAAGAACATTTTTAATTCACTGGCCACAAGGTGTTAAGGAGGCCATTTATGTTCTTTCAATTCCATGGTACTTCACTTATTTGGAAAATAAAACATTATAGTCTCAAGAATTCCAAATGTAAAAGAGTAATCAAAACCAATATGGCCTGTAAATCAAATGGCAATTGCAATTTCTTAACCATTTTTTTGTCAATCAATACACAAATTTATGCACTGGATTAATATTGTCACTTTGATAGCTGAGTTTAATACTGAAAAGCACTGAAGCACATAAATTCCTTGGGATTAGTTACCAAAAGCAAGAGTGAATTTAGCTGTTTTATTAGCCAAAGGCTTAGTGAACACCTCTTCACTGAATGAGTTTTCTGTTCACAGAAATGTTTGATATGAGAAAGCCTGATACAATTTAGTTCAGACTTACAGGCAGACTTTATGATGCTGGATGATTCCTATATTCTTAAAGTGCATTTTCAGGATGCACTAGTTTTGGCATTGAAGTTGTTTTAAGTAATTAATCACTGTGTTGCTGTTCACACAATTCTCCCTCAGACCAATTGCGTTGTGCCCTAGTTCTCTGCAACCCTTCACTTGTATTACTGCAAAAGTCAACACATTGAAATGATCTGTGTGAAAAGAATAACCTCTCCTCCTCCTCCTCCTCCTCTTCTCCCCCCCTTCAAAAGAAGGGAGTCATGTGCAGTAACTTTTTGGGTAGAGTCATGTGAGAAATTGCATTTGTAGCACAAACCTTTGGTGTAGAAACACAGCCAAGATACTGATGAATTTGACGCAACGACAACAATTGCAACAACAAAAAATTCTTGAACTTATTTACCACTGAAGCTAGTGTGATAAGAAATTGCAGCTGAAATTTGACTGCAAGACCCAAGAAGGCATAAGGGAATCTGTTTCAGAAAAACATGCACAAAATTTCAGATTTTCAAATTTTTCTTGGCAATTGTAACTTGCTTATTTTCTCAAACAAATCTGAAGTTCATGTAAATTAGCTTTCTCTTTAAGTTGGGTTTTTGAATAAGACATCAGTTATCACAAGATTGATAAAAAACCCAGAAAGACTGGTAAAACTGTCATTGAGCCATATAACATGTGCCTGTCCTACAGAAATGAAGATAACCTCCCACTGAGGTTGGAACAAGTCTAGGTCTAATATGATACAGTTTATACAGAAGACATCACTTCATTTAATTGCTTGTTAGTTTATTCCATTGTATAGAACAAAAGCTTTCATATGAAAATGGCAGTTTCCACTTTGTTATAAATTACGTAAAAAAGCTTGTAAAAGCTGGACTGTAGCCTGTGAACTGCACAAAGGAATAAAAAGCTAATCACATCTGTCCCCATGCTGGCAACATGGTCCTTGGTGCCTAATTAGGGATTCTTAACAGAAATACATGTCAAATCTAACAGACTAATTGCTTGCAGTATTAAAAGCCCTTATACACTAGTTGTAAAAATGTGTATGTATACAGAATATTGTAATAAATAAACCCCAGAGATTTAATAGGTTGTTTCTGCTTGCTCTTTAGACAGAGAACAGAGGGAAGAGCAGCAAAACATTCAAACCCTTTTTTTTTTCCCCAGGAACAATTAATCTGGAAATGCAGATTAGAAATTCCAGATGAAAAGATGTAAATACCACAATCTTTTTTTAATTGTATCCTTTCTTACCCAATGATGTTCTTGATAAAGTAAATGGGAGAATCATGTTCTCCTATTTCTCAAAACTATGGCAGCACCTCCTTGTACCATGCAAATTGGGTCTACGGGTATTTCATTTAGCAGCATGGTATCTAAGCATTCCTTCTTTTTTGCACAAAAACATGTGCAGCACATAAGTTGACACACAGATATACTTGTCATTTCAGTTAGAAAATCCAGAGAAAGCTGGCAAGAAGGACTAAAAACTACTGCTGATAAAAGAACATCAGGGACATCTGGAATGAAAATGTCTTCAGGCCCATAACCTGACCCTGGGATTGCATGTGTTCCTTAAGTAATCCTTGCTGTTTCCTTTCCTATACCGCCTTCTATTATCTGCATGCAGTTAAGAGGTCTTTCAAGTCACAAATCTAAGGACTCAGATCATTTCAGTATCTCACCAGCTGGACAATTTACTGCTAAGGAAGGTCTTGCCCAGGAGAGCATGGATCAGAGCTCAAATTGCAGTTCTGAATGCTTTTAGCTTTCTCACAGGCTTATTCCAAGAATTGAACAGCAAATTCATAGTATTTATTCCTGAAATCTGTTAGAAGTAGGGCAACATACTCTATGCATTTCCAGCAATGGTGGCCCACTGTAGGGTGGTAAGCAGCTTACAGGAGGGAGCTTGTGCAGCAGAAAAAGAAGTTTTGGGGCTGAATTTACAATAGGTATAAGCAAGCATAGCCGCACATATTTCAAATGTGTGTGCACTTTCATGTACACTACAGTTTGGAAAAAGAATTATTGTTGTTTTCTTACCGTAATGGCTGCTTTAAAGTTTTCCAGTTCCTTCTCAGCATTTTCTTCAGTAAGATTTCTCTCTCTCTCTGCTTGGTTAATTCTAGATTCCAAGGTATAACTATCATTTCTAAAGGCCAAGGAAAGTTGTACAAATACATTCTGTTTGGATTGAAAAGGCATTTTTAAATAAGTGTCACAGTAATGTAATTTCCATTAAAATTTATGAATAAGGTATGTTTAACAAACTTTGGTGCTTAAGTAAGTACTGAAACACAAAATTGAAAATGTTTTTTAAATCCAATTGTTTCAAAAATCACTTCTCTTTACTTCCTCTAAAATAGGAATAAATGTGTTGCTGCCTCTTTTCCTGAATGTTTTTCTGGGAGATCAGTAGAGCAGAGACACAATGAAGGAAGCAGCCTACCAGAAGTATCAGAATCACAATGGATCTGTTTTCTAGCTGAACTTCCTCCAAGGGTCCCCAAGGTTTTTAAACAGATAGTCTGTGCAGAGGAAGTCCAGGGATGAGCTCACCATTAGCATTGTTTTACCTAAGGGATAAACACCTACCACTGAAGCCAGCAAAAGATTAAGTGCTAACATTTTTATTCTCTTGCACCCTGCTTTTAAAGATTGTTTCTTTCTTCACCAGATGCATTATTTCTTAGGATTAATACTTCGCAAAGCACAAGGCACCAACAGTTCCATTAGATTGGAGCTATGTAAATAAAGATCTTTTTCTTGACCGGTACATGAAAAAAAAAAAAAGAAGAAGAAACAAAGCCAGAAATCTAAAGAGCAACCTAAAAAGAAAAAAAATTATTTTCTGGAACTGAAAAAGTAAAAATTATGTAAACTAACTGCAAGGTGTCATAAAAAACTGCCCCAAAGCTCTTATTGACCAATACAAAAATGCAATTTAACTCATTTAGTTTCTGGTCTCATTTAATCTCAATTTTTTTACTACTTTAAGTATATTATAATAATTTCCAAAATGCACGCGTATTTTATTACGAAGAATGCACAAGTGTTTTGCTTATTCCTACCCTAAGTCTTTACAGTTTATATTGCCTGAGACAATTGCCCATATTTCATCAAGTTGTTATTTTGATTGAGCTTAATATGGTTTTTTTCTGAGAAATATTTTTTTGGAAAAAAAAAAATCCTATTACCTTGTTCTAATAGCCACCCTTAGACTTACAGAAACCACTTACAAGTGGTGCTCCCCAGGGCTCAGTACTGGGGCCAGTTCTGTTTAATATCTTTTTCAATGATCTGGATGAGGGGATTGAGTGCACCCTCAGTAAGCTTGCAGATGACACCAAGCTGAGTGGAAGCGTCGATCTGCTGGAGGGTAGGAAGGCACTATAGAGGGACCTGCACAGGCTGGATCGTTGGGCCGGGGCCAACTGTATGAGATTCAACAAGGCTCAGTGCTGGGTCCTGCACTTCGGTCACAACAACCCCATGCAACGCTACAGGCTTGGGGAAGAGTGGCTGGAGAGCTTCCCGGCAGAAAAGGACCTGGGGGTGTTGGTCGACAGCCGGCTGAATATGAGCTGACAACGTGCCCAGGTGGCCAAGAAGGCCAGTAGCATCCTGGCTTGTATCAGCAATAGTGTAGCCAGCAGGACCAGGGTACCGATCGTCCCCCTGTACTCAGCACTGGTGAGGCCGTACATCGAGTACTGCGTTCAGTTTTGGGCCCCTCACTACAAGAAGGACATTGAGGGGCTGGAGCATGTCCAAAGAAGGGCAACGAAGTTGGTGAAGGGTCTAGAGCACAAGCCTTACGGGGAGCGGCTGAGGGAGCTGGGGTTGTTTAGCCTGGAGAAGAGGAGGCCGAGGGGAGACCCTATTGCTCTCTACAACTACCTGAAAGGAGGGTGTAGCAAGGTGGTGGTCAGTCTCTTCTGCCCAGTAACAAGTCGTAGGACAAGAGGAAACAGCCTCAAGTTGCGCCAGGGGACGCTTAGATTAGATATTAGGAAAAAGTTGAACGAAAGGGTTGTCAAGCACTGGAACAGGCTGCCCAGGGAGGGAGTTGAGTCTCCATCCCTGGAGGTATTTAAAAGACGCGTAGATGTGGTGCTTAGGGACATGGTTTAGTGGTGGACTTGGCAGTGCTAGGTTAACAGTTAGACTTGATGATCTTAAGGGTCTTTTCCAACCTAGATGATTTTATGACTCTATGATTCTAAAATTGAGGTATATGTCTAAAATAATGAGTTGAAGAACATACTTACCTCAACTTCTTTTTCAGTAAGTGGAGGGGAGCTAGAAATAAAAGCAGAAATTCACATTTTAATTAGTTTTGTCTCTAAAAACAAAGCTATTGTAATATTCAATTGAAAATAACAACAAAAGACATCCCCCCTTTAAATATTCTGTGGTTTCTTTTGGTGAAACCAGTATTTACTTAGTTCAATTGTACTTGTTATGGCTAAACCCCATGCTTTTTTTTAAAAGCAACAGCCCAGTAACACCTGAGTATTGGAAAAACATACCAAAGTTTCTGGCAACTGCAAATACAGCTATCTGCACTACATTGTGATAAATTGCAAGAGCAAAACAGATGTTACCCTTTTGGAGTTGCGGGTGACTTAGTATGCTATACTTCAGACTATTATCTTTACCCGTTTTCCTTCTGTTAACAGTTGAAACCTCATGATGATAATCACAGATAATCACAGATAGGCAGATTCAAAACCTATATTGCTGTATACTGAACTATCCTGTTTTGGCTGCTAAGTTTGTTGGAAGTTAGCTAACAATGATTCTAACACTGAAAAAATATACGCTTGAGTTTTATGTTTTCCACCACAAGAATGATTACTGCCTATACAAAAAACTAGAAAAAGTTACAAAAATGCAGTTTCATAGAATACTATAAAAGAAATGAGATAGACAACATTATATTGCAAGATCTCACTTAAAGGCAGCCATCCCATGTGTTTGAATTTACAGGTTCTTATTCCCTGTAATTGTTCCAAAACATCAGAAAGCTATTCAGTTTTATGCAAGTGAATAGAGACGAGAAACATCTGAAAGAAATGACAGCAGCTGTATATACAAATTCTAGTGGATGCCAGTGATAGGAGCTGTGGCTGACATACCTATCATGCACTGTGCAGACATGACACTTTCAGAAAATTCAAATATTATTGTAATATTCATTGCACCATTAATCCCAAATATAGAAATCAATGCATCTGGCATCAATGATCAGCAGATTTTTCTTGATGGGTAGAATAATATTGATATTTAGAGGGTGGCCAGTATGTCCCCCGTGTTGGAAAAGCATTTTGTGCCTAAAGTATTAGTATTCATATTACTTATTGTTATTCTAGGAGGAAGCCTACTTAGAAGGAGTAGTCTTTCTAGAAGGAAGTTCAAGCATCAGTATGTGTTATATAACACAGCACAGAATGATAAAATTTCTGTCTTTCCTTTGGCTGGGAACATTCTGAGAAATTCACAGTAAGAATGAAAAGTTATGTATGTATTTATTCAATAGATTAACCCCACTGATTAAAGAATATGACCTGAAAAACAGAAGATCTGCATATTATCTGATCCTCAAAACCAGTTCAGCATTTACCTGTTTGGTACTTAGCTATGAAATTACTTTTCTTTTCAATATTCGTTTACAATCAAGCAATGGTCTCTTAGAACTTTTTCACCTCATGCATTCATTTATATAAAACGTTGTATATAACAGTTCCTGCACAACAAATGTTAAGTATTTATTTCATCTGCACAGAGAACACTTATTAATTGCTTCAAATGATTGAAGGCCTCTAGTATTTATAGTATAAAAACACACAGGTGAATTTAGGAATAGTTTTGGCCAAATATGTTTGGAGTTGTTTTCATGTCTAATAAGCATTTTTCTGTTATGGTTTTATTTCTCTCAAAGAAAAGGCTTATGCAGAAACATGGAAGAAGCTTAGCTTTATTCTAATGCAATACAAAATAAAAATATGCATAGTCTCTAACATTAGCAGTGGTACAAGGTATGCAAAGCATGTGGTTATAAATGCTTCATTTGAGCTTTCTTCCCTATATTTCTTGGGCCAGAGCAAAATATTTTCTGAAGTTATGGACTTTTGTATCATTTTAAAACATAAGCTTTCCCTCAAAGGAAAATTCCACTTAAATTCTGTCAAGAAAATGTTAAGTTTGGATAGCAGTAAAAGCAAATCAGAATGAAAAGTGGTATTTTTAAAGGTCTGGACAAACACCTGGCAAGTATAGTCTATTATGACGCCACCTCAGAAGAAGTATGGACCAGAGGATTCCCTTGCTAAAGTTATTGTTGCATTAAGCAACAATAGCTCTAGTTTCAAATGATCTCTTGTATGGTGCTACCCTACACATCTATAACATGCAGACAAACTGCTTCAGATTGCATAAGAGGGAAAGGAGAAACTCTTGAGCCATGGCAGGTGTTAAGCAATCTGTTGATAAGTGCCTACTTGCACAGCCCAAGATCAGGGAATTAGTGAGCAAGTCCTTCAACTACGTTTGCAAAATAAACTCCATTTCCCTGAAAAATCGTCACCTGCAGCAAAACTGCAGGATTCTTACATGCCCAAATTTTTCCACTGGAAAGCAATATCTGGCCTGATTATTTTTCTGGGGGAAAGAAATACTAATATTTTCAACATGCATTTATATCTGCAGCAGCAATCCTAAAAACCAGGAGTGGACAGACGGGTAGAAAAATCTGTATAAAAATGTACTTGTAGTATGCAAGTTAAGTTTCAGACTTTTTAAGTAGAACTTGCAAACTAATTTTAAAAGTTGGCCAGTTACTGGAAGTTGGTGCACTCCCCAACATTTTTCAGAAAATCTGTGTTGCACATTTTAAGATGCAGCAATTTGTCTACTTATATGGATCCCCTGTGAATGGAACTCCATAAAGGGAGTTCACTGGAAACCATTAGTGTGCCTTCCCCCGGATGATGCCTTTCTACTTCTAATGAGCTTTTACCTTCCCGGAAGCGATTTGTGCACTCGTAGTTTTCGCAGCAATACATCAGGAATGCTGGGCATGACATCAGAGCTATTCTTTGTCTCTTCCTCTTCAGTGGGGGAGGGAAGAGGTGAAGGGCCTAAAGACATTTTCAGATAAAAAACTTTTGTTATTTGAAAAGTCATCCATCAACTATTAATAGTCAGCATCTCAGAGCCAAATAGGACCTTTTAGCCTAACTGTGTCTTTTTTAAAGTCAATGAGGATTTCACCCCTCTCTACTGGGAGCAAAAGTGAACAACAAGAAAAGGTCCATCCCTTCGTGAGAATGTTACTTCCTTTATTGCATATGGTGATACATCACTCATCTCTCCTTTACTGCTAAAATAAAGATCCTGTGCCTTCCTTTCGAGCAGCAGCAACAAAAAAGTAATCAGTACAATTGTCATCCTTTACGTAGAAAGACTGAAGTGTGCTCTGACAGTCTCTAATGCACTGAAAAATAATTATTGTATTAGTATTTTTCCTAGAATTCGAACTGAACCCAAATTCATTACTGGAACATCTAACCTAACATTTTGCATTTGTGCTTTACCAGTACAGTTACATAATTTATGGAATATTATAGCTTAGATTTTGTAATAGAGTACTGTTATTTTCTAAGGCTTTACATGTCACCTGCCAAGATGAAGTCTAGTATAATGTACTATACTACAGATTTTGTGCACTATTTATGGTGATAAATCTACAACATGTACTTGTTTGCACTGCATGTTCATTGAAACAGGGCATAAAGGTTATAGTTACATTCTCTACTTCTGTCACTTTCATAAGGACCAAGATATGGCTTAAACTTTTTTTTTTAATTCATGTTACTTAATTTTTTCATTTTCATTTTATTAATTTCATCTATAATAATTCCCTTATCTCCTTCTACCTTGCCAGAATTTAATGAAGGACTCTTCTATAGGAAAGTCTGGTTCCCCAGTCTGAATCTCAGACTTGAGAAGATATCTTCGTACAGTTCTCCTGTTCATTTGGTGTAACAGAAAGATTCTTAGACTTGCAAAACAAATAGTGTGAAAAAGCTCACATTTTGTAAATGTGGAAAATATTAACATGAAAGATGGAAGAGAATGGGAGATTCTTTCTAGCTGCATTTTAGTTTTGTGCATTTCCTTTATATTTAAAAACTCCAGTATTTACTTAAGAGCAGTCATGTGTGTCCCAATAAAAAGCCAGCCTGACATCACAATATCTCCGTATCTAATATATCCCACTTACCTAAACTTCTGTACATGCAAAGTTAATGTTTACTAAGATGATCACAATAACTTGGCATTGATAGGAAAAACATGATGGACCCTGTATATTTGATTCATAACAGTAATAATGAAGTAGCTGGCTATTTCCTATTGTCTAAGCAAAATTACTATTCCAGTTAAAAAGCACAAGGTGGCTTTTATGACAATGTAAGGAAGTAAGTCTCCCTAACAAATGAACTAAGGATTTGACCCCTCGCTTTTTTCCCCCCCACTGAGGACAAGGAGTTGACCCTTAATGTTCTGGCTATGATTTAGATAAGCTAGTAGACTTTAAAAAGCTCATGATGCTCATGAGATCTTGGTTGAAAAGCTGGATAAAATAATGCTTAGCTTTCCATAATGTTTTCCTCAAAAGTTTCAAATCTGCCAAAATTATGTGACAGGCTGGTAAAATGGCAACTATTTTACACTTTCAAACAGAGCCTCCTAAATAATTTCTGGGAAATGATATATTAGCAGAGTAACAAGAATAATATTACAATATCTAAGAATCTGAAGATATAATCACTAAATACAGAAAGAGGACAAGAAGTTTCTTTTAATCTTGTTTCATTCAGACTGAAGATCTGTCTGTTTCCAGAGATAACATGAAATGTAATACCTCAGCCATCTCCCTGTGTAACAGAAACTTTAAAGCATTACGAAATAGTCCCAAAGCAAATTTGTGAATTAGCAAAATAAACAGTATTAGGAAAAATGGAAATTGTCTTTAGATCGAATCTTGAACAATTCAGTTTCAGCTACTTTCATATTAACCATCTCTATTTCAGTTAATGTGGCCTTAAAAACACTCTGAGCAAGTTCTGATTTAACTACTTCCAAAGAAATATACAGTTTTGGTTTACATATTTTCAATTGATCGCTCAGCACTACTGCTATTTAGTTCTTCCAGTTGTTGAATTGTCCTCAGGATTACATCTTCACTCTTTATTTCTATTTTGAATCTTTTTAGATGCAGCCTACAGGCATCAAATCTCATTTGCTTGTGTGAGATTGGAAAAAACATTTGGTACCAGATTTCTGTTTCCTCATTTATATAGAGTTTTAAGCATTTTCCTTATTAAAAATCACACAAATTGTGCTAAAAAACTCCCCACTTGCTTTAAGGTGTATTTTTCGAATCCTTCAATCACATTTATGTCTCTTCTCTGGCCTTACTCTTACTTATCCATATTGACATAGAGCTGTGGACCAGAAATGAACATGCCATTCCAATATTTGCCACACATATACTAAAATAAAAAAAACAGGAATAAAGCATTCCATCTCTTATTTATATTTTCAAGGATCAAATTCACCCTTATGGCCACAATATCTTGCAGAGGTCACACCCATTCAATCCATCACTGCTGAAACTTTTTTTCAGAAAGTCACTGAAACTTGAGACAGTCCTCCATCTATTAAGTACAAGCTAGACTCTGTTCCAGGTATGCATCTTTTCATTTGGTTGTAATAATACCTACAGTATCTTGGCTTATATCATCAAGAAATTCAGGTACTTCAATTATTAGTCTCTCTCATTCGTTATTTACTACCCTCTTCCAGTTGTTGCTTCACTACAACTACTATTGCAATTGAAGAAAGCAATTTTTTTCCTCCACATTAGTCAATTCTAAAAATCAGTTTATAACAAAAAAATGCTCCTTCCAGCTTTTATGATACTGCACCTTTTTCCTGTTCAGCTGCTTCACTAAGTTCAGGAAGTTTAAGTCCGACTAAATTTTGATTTCTCATCAAAATATGCTCCTGTTAAGAAAAACAGTAACATTTCTAAGTAACTTAACTAGAAATCTCAATTTAAATGTCCCTGCCATGTGAACACTCAATATAACATTCACTTTAGTTAATAAACATAATGGAGATATTTATATTAAGTTATAGTCAGATGCTACATTGCATCTGACATGTACATTCACACACACACTCTTAAATATTACATATTTCACATTTCATACATGCATTATTTAGAAGAATTCCTGGCCAAGCAAATAGAGCTTTAAAACATATGCCCCTTACTCAAGTAGAAAAATTGAGTTTTAATAATAAGATAATGAGAGTTTTAGTAAATTAGAGCGAAAAAAGCAATTTTTGATATAGCCATAGTAATAAGTGAGTATCTGAGAAAGGAGAGAAAAATCAGAAAATGAGATATATGAGACTTTACCACTTTGACTTATTCAGTAGGATTTATTCACACTGAAGCTTGGTATGCTACAGCTGCAAGTTAATACTTCATTGTTACTGTACTCTGCCCCTATTCCTTACAGGTAGGGAATAATGTACTCTCAAGGATTAAACCTTGTTATCTTATTTCTCCTTCTATCATCTCCTCATTTCCTACTTTCATATTCTCAAATATGTTTAAAATTCACAAACATCTGTTTTTGTTTATAAGTAGACAATTCCTACTGGAGACAGAGTTCAAATCTCACCGAACTGGAATTATATATCATGTTGTATTAATTTTCTGACTCTACTATTTGTGCTTAACAACTTCTAGGACTTTCAAAATTATATGGCTCAAGTGTCTTTTATAATCAAAACTTCCAGTACATATATGCTAAGAATGTATGTGTTATATAAACAGGAAAAGATGAATAACTAAGCTGCCATTCTCAAGCAATACAATGGGAATAAAATAAAGTGCAGAATTTGAGGTCCTCAACTGTCAGCCCTGTGTTCACCTTAAAATATTAACCACTGGAGGTCAAAAAAATACTCCTAATAGGCTGTTAAGGAAAGTAACTACTACTATTTTTTTTTTTTCTTTTCTTTCAAAGGTCATTTTTGCTATACACACATGGTAGTTGTTTTATGATGGTGGTTTATCATTTCATGATATTTCTACTTTTTTCAATACACTGGTTAGTTCTTAGGGTTTAATTCTTAATTTTTACCAATCATTTAGACAATTATTTAACAACGGATTAGTTTATAGATTTCATAGTTCAAGTCTCTCCTTCAAGAAGCTGATACATTTGCACCATGTTAGAATTAGGAACTGTAAGTCTGGCCATTCTCTACCTGCCCTTCCTCTCAGAGACACCCAGTTTTAAAACTCTGGACACTTTGAGACATTTTCTGAGAATGTTTAGTAAGCAAAAAATCATACAAAAACAATTTCCTGTCCCCTGAGATCTTGCAAATGTAACGTTATTGCAAAGGCTAGTATTCTGGAATGACAGGACTACTGCCTTTAGAAGGGAGAATACCAACCAATACAGGACTCAAAAACACTCAGCTGAACAAAGTAAAAGTGATTTTTAAAATCCAAAGAAAGTTTACAAATAGTATATGACACACAAAGGCTTGTAAGCCTCAAACAAGAGTATAGTAACCGTCCCCAAACTTCAGTTAAAGATTTCTGATTACACGCAGGTCTCAGCCCACTCATAGATAAATCAGTCAATTAGTCAATATATTGTGAGAGCCTGTGGATCTGAGGACAGTTCTGAAAGAGCAGAAAAAGCATAGCCCAGGGAAGCAAAGGAAGTAAAAGAGCCTAAGTGACCCTTTTTAAAAGACTGTTGTTATATCCTGAGGAAGGAAAGATTCTTCAAATCAAAAATTCTCTTTAGAAATCAAAATAGATCATTTTAGTCCCAAGTATGTTTTATAAATGACGTGATTATTAATCAACTGCTTCCTGTTTATAGGTCATGTAAACGATGCAAAAATGAAATCTATTGTGGTTTAGACTACCTTTCTGTCACAATGAAAGCAATTAGTACTTTCTTGACACCAATCTTACAATTTTTTTTCTGGGGCCAAAACCTGCATGTGCAAGACCATATGTGCATATTGAAGAGACCACAATGCAGTTGATGCATATTTGAAGAGAACTAAGGAAGAGAATAATTCCATGGAATTTAGTTTCAGGTTACAATTTACTAAAGTTGCAAAGTAAAAACACAATACAGTTCTGTACTGATTTTGCTGCAACTGTTTCCCCTTATATTACTATATGTTTCTTGCAATGATAAAAATAATGCTGAACAAGTTGAAATTTTAGTAAGGTATAAAAATAACTTTAAAACAGGATACAACTGATGACTAGGACTCACCTCTCTGAGCTTTGTCAATTTCTGCATTCGAACTGGTTGAACTTGGATTTGAAGGTCTTTGAATGCTTTTAATTGATTGCTGGATTTATTATCAACAACAAAGCTTTTATCTTCCTCAGATGGTAATTTTAAAGGTGTTTTATCTTTCTGTCCAGGCTCTGAGCTATCCCATGATACAGCCCGTAGTAGAGGAGGACGCAGTCCACATAGTTTAAATTCTGGTTTACATGAAACTTTATGGTCCCTCATTTCTGGAACAGGAATTTTTAGCTTTGAGTCTATATTTCCTATTCCTGGTCCTGGTAGATGGGTTCTTAAAGGAACATCATTTTCCTTTGCTTTCTTGAGGAATGATTTTCCGAGTTCATTTTCACAAACATTCATGCAAGTGTTAAGAGACATTCTGCCACCATCACCACCTGAAGGGGAGCATTTTGGTGAAGTATCCATATGTTTACGTGGATCAAAGTTTTCTTTTTGTTCTGAGAGCTTCTCTTTGGAGTTTTCAAAAGCAGCAGAACGAGGAACCAACCTTCCCTGAGAAATCTTTCTTTGATCATTCTGCCTTCGATCAATTAATCCTTTTGCAGCATTCTGAAAGTAGAGGGACACACATAAAGCAGAGAAACAAACGCAGATTTCTCTTCTCTCCTGCCCAAGGACAGATTTTCACTGTAAAAAGCCATTTCCTTTCCAGTGACATTTGCTTTTAAACATGTGCTGTTGACAAGAGAAATAATTTTTAAAAGGCACTTGAAAGTACACTGAATTGGGAATCTCTTCTCTGAACTTTTGCGATAACCTCCTCCCATTCCAGAGTCCTCCTCCCATTCCATAGCAATCCTCATATAGCCAAGTTTCTCATTATCTTAATGTAAGGTTTGTTCGAGTACACACCTTTAACCCTGTATCTTATAGCACTGTTACTTTCCTTTGATTGTTTTCTGTCAGTTCCTCACCTCCCAAGGGAAAAAAACATGGGCTTGTACACTAAGTTAAAGCACATATTGTAATTTATCTCTTCTTACTTTGTGTGCAGTACCATAGATCATAATTTGGCTGCAATCTCTACAGGAGAACTGGCAAAAGAATGTTTGCGTATAGCTTGGCTACTTTGGTACAGAATCTGTATTTTGTCTAAGGGCACCTGTGTCAGCAGGCAACCAACATACAGTGTAACCGTGGGCTCTGCCTTAGATATGTTGCTACTCCTCTCCTTTATAGTTACTGCTCCAAAATGCTGCTGCCATACTGTTTTTTGTAGGTATTGCCTAATCCACTCACAGCAAAATCTCTTTAAAGGACTATCTGATATTATCTAAAACAAATTAGGAAGCATTCACATAAACTGCTCCACCAAGAGTTGTGTGGAGCAGTAACATCCCATCAGTGGTGCGGAACACAAGGTACAGTAACCTCTTGCATTGAACCAAAAGAGTCTGGAAGAGGATGTCTGTCTAAAACACCAGCATACACCAAAGTGGCTATAGTAGATGATATTTTTACTTTGCTTTTAAAGGTATTTAGTATACTGATATTAACTGAGCTAGAGCAGGGTGCATGGTAAGATGTAAAGGCTAGCTGTGAGCCCACTGTCCTCCACTACATTTGCAGGTGCTTCACAATTTCTTAGATCAGTATCATTTTTCTTTTCACTCAGTGAACAGCCCTTTTAGTCACATACATAACAGTCATATGTGTGCTAAGACAAACAGGTAGATTTGTTCCACAATGTGAAGCACTTACCTCTGCAGCTTGCTTGTCATCCTCTTTCACAGTTCTGTTATTCTAGCAAAAAAGGAAGAAGAAAGTTGCCTTACAAGGTTATCTTTAACATCTATGCTACAAATGTTAAATATAGATATTAATGGATGAACTTTGAACCTCTTAATTTTTACACTGCTTGTCACATTTATTTATGAAGTAATTTTAGGGATTTTTTTTTTCAATGGATTAGGATTATATTGTATCTTTTTCCATCTTCTACACTTAACAGATCTCTATGATCCTTCAATGCTTGTTACCTCATGGATTTTTGTCCTCAGAGTAAACATTTATTAGTCCCTCGCTCTGCAGAAGAAACATAGTAATAATCCAATCTTGGTATATAAAACAGTATTCAAAACATCCCATTTTCCTCAGGGACTAACAGGACAGCATAGTGTAATGTAGTACTGTAATAACCAGGTTACTGTGCAGACTATTCAGCTCTTTCTTACCTGCCCTGGAGATACTGACTCGACACTAGTGGTTGTGCATGCATCAGATCCTAGAAAGACACACACATAATTAAGGCATATCCTGATGTTTTGCTCAAAATTTTTACTACTACAGCATTAGCAAACACATACATGCACAGTTCCATGTAGTATATTAAGGATAAAATTTAAACGTGGAAAATACTATGTAAAAGGGAAAAAAATTATCTAAAATATAGTAAGTGAAAGATCATGAAAGCTTCTCAGAACTCTATTATTGAAAGGAATAAAAAAATAGAACGTGTAACCTAGCAGCACCACAGGAATAAAAATATAATACAAAAAATATATATGTAAAAATATATATTGTGGACATTCATGAGCTTTGTCATATTCAGGAGGAGATGCTTAAATCTACAGATTTTGACTTCTCCTCAAGAAATATTAAAAAATACATTTTTGGTGAGCTTTTATAAGTTAAAGTTTGAGCCTGCATAGATCATTTTACCTGATGGAACTGGAAGAGTGAGAGAGTTGCTCCGAGATGCTACTGGTGAAACTTTAGGACTAAGTGTAGGGGAAACTGCTTCATTAAAACAAAGAGAGAAACAAAAAATACAGTAATTTTACTTTCTAGGCTTGCAGCTTCTGAATTTTTAAAAATCAGATAAGATTAAAACATGAATCCCATAGTCATCAGTCATGTGTTTGTCCAGAACCTGACAAGTCATTTCAATTGCCAAGTTGTGGCAATTAGAAACTTAGAGTAGATTTTATCTCATATACCTGCCATAAACTGATACAATTCTGTTGATACACAGAATCCTTATTCTCCTCAGTTTTCTGATACTGTAAGCACTGCAGAGAAGTAGACACAAGAGAAGGGTTCACAAGGAATTTAGGAAAAAAAAAAAAAAGGAAAATTTAATTTTTAAAAATATAGTTGTGTTTTTTTCCTCCAGAAAGTGTCAAGCCAATTTTAAGATAGAACTTTATTTTGAATTGGCATTTCAAAGCTAAATGAAAGCCCTACTTCATGCTAAAATAGCATTTTGTCCTAGTTTTCAAACACTTCATATGAGGGGAAAAAAATAATTTCAATTGACATTCTAGAACAAAACATATTATTCTGCTGTTTTTAAAGGAGGATCTGGTCCATTTAGCTTAGTTTATGACTATGTTCAGAATAAAAGTCTGTGTAATTATGTCTGGGGGGAATGTTTTTTCAGCAGTATGAATCTTGCCATTAAAATTTCATTTTAGGTACAATAGGAACTTTAGGAAGAAAATATTCACAAACAGAAATTTGTGACCATGTTTTAGATTCCAATAGAAATACTTCATGCTTTCCTGTTAGTGTTTGCAGGGTGTCATTCAGGCACTTCAAAACTTTACACCATCTTCCACTGTTACATCTGAATATAGAGACTGGTCATTTCTGTTTTATATGGAATGTGAGGAGGGGCAGAGGGATTCTGACCTTCAAATTAACAAAGTGTATGTATACAGCAGCAATGTATGCGTTACAGTAGATGGTTGTTTGTGCCTTTGCAGATCTCTGAAGTACAATATAAAATCTTGTTTTCAGAATCTGCACCTACCTGTGGGTGACTCCGGAAGGCTGCTTCTTGACTTTCTGCCTCTGCGCATTAGAAACCTCTCACTCACTTTCTTTGCTTCTTCTAGTAATTCAAGGTTCTTCTTTTTGTCTTCCTCTGATATTTTGACATCTGGTAGCTGATCATTTACCAGATCAATCACATGACCACTGTTGTCTGGGTAGAAAACATCAGAATTAGAGCTATACCTCATATTTCCAGATATATTGTGGCATTTCAGAGTAACAAGTACAAAACTTACCTATAAATTTAGTTTTGAGCTTGCATTTAACAAACAATGTCTGCTTTGTTGTTATACTCTCAAGTTTAGAGGAAGTTCTCAAAAACACAGATAGCCCACTAAGATTAAGTCACTATGATCAAAGATGGTCTGATATGTGAAACTGGCTTTTCCGGCTGTGTCCCCAGTACAGTTTTCTCATTTATCAGTAAAAGTGGCGTTAGATCCATCTCAACTAGCAGTCACAGCACTTCTGTCGTAGACTCAGTTTTTCTGTGGATTTTGTATGTCCAGTTTTTCAAGGCTAAGTTTTTCAAGTCCCACAAACTCACCTGGCAAAGATTTATGCACACTATTTTTAACATACAGGTGATTCCATCAAATAATCTATAAAATAAACCGCAGAGTTTGGAAGTATAAAGGTTTTATTCGATGTAGATAGAAGAGCTTTTCCCACAAATGCAGAAGCAACAGTAAAGCTGCATCTGGCAAAGCTGCAGGCAGAAGTTGTTGAATAGCTAAAGCCTGAGAATTATAAAGCTATGTCAAAAAGCAAATCAATCTATCTCTACCATGTGGTGAACCTGCAAGAATTTTCCAAAGGAATTGCAAATCCCATTAGAATATCCAATGGTTAAAGAAGGCATTGTTAGAGATTGCTTTTCCTCATGCCCACTTATGTTGATATGTTAGATATGTGACCCAGGAGAATGCACGGACCACAAACTGAAAGCAACTGCCTTACACTTAGACCTTTAGATTAATGCATTGTCTTCTAAACAAATTTTAATTAGTTGTAGAAAGAACCCATTAATCCCTGGCTTCCAAATTGGTTGAAAACACTAAACTTTGAGGACTAATTTTTACAATTCTTCAGGCTATGATTAAGCAAAGAATATAGCCTGTTGTTGGAAAGGCCCTTTCTGTGTGAGTTGGTATGAATGGCTTCTATAAGCATCTAGGCTTGTATGGAGAAACAGTTACCTGAAAACAACAGGCCAAAGAAAGGAAACATATATGCTGACAAGGTAGCGTGTGCAAATTTTTCATGGGTTGATAAACTCTACAGACTAGTAAGCTTGTTCGATCTGCAAGAACTGGTAAATAGATCACCAAGAGTCTGCTCAATCTGTACAAGGCCACTGGCACACACTAGCATCAACAACAGACTGCAAGTCAGATGTTTATTCTCAGGTAACTCTGAGAAAATTTGTGACTGTGTGAGTGAACTAACTATATAAGTGAATAAGTGACTGTGTTGCGTGAAGAGTTATCTGGTATTAATAACAACTTGATCACGTTAAAAACAGCTTAGTGAATAAAATGTGTTCTAAGAAATATCAGTTGTGACTGTCTCTCTTCCCAGTTTGATGCCTCTATTAGGAAAGAGGGAATTTATAACACTGTTTTGCAATAAGAACAACTTACTAAAGAACAGCTTGGGTGAGGGGGAGGGAAGTCATCAGGTAACATGAGAAAAACATTTCTAAATTTGACAAGAGCCATTACAGAACAATCAGTCTTCAGAAAATCTAAGGACATAAGTAACCAGCAAAAACTCAAGGCTTTTGGTTTGTCAGTGTGGGGTTGTTTGTTTGGTTGTTTGTTTTTTTTTTTTTTTTTTTTTTGGGGGGGGGGGGGGGGGGGGGGGGTTTTTTTTTTTTTT